GGTATGTTTTAAATGTTCATCTTCAATTATTTCTTCTCTTCATCTTCATAGGTTCATGTACTGTTGTTATCTCCAAATACAATCCTTTGACAAAATCAGTCGCTCATTTTAGTGTTAATTCCTGTTTGACACTTTTGTGTACATTAGATGGTTGTCATATTGTTACTGTCGAGGGTCTTGGTACAACACATGAACCAAAAGGTAGTCTACATCCGATACAACGAACAATTGCAGAAAATTATGCTTCACAATGTAAGAATACATATTCTATTGATTTCCTTCGAAAACTGTATATGATTTAGGTGGTTTTTGCACACCTGGTATGTGTATGTCACTGTACGATACATTGGCAAATTGTTGCAAGGATAAACGACTAACACTTCATGATATTGAAGACACATTTAATGGGAACCTTTGTCGTTGCACAGGTTATCGACCTATTTTAGATGGTGCGAAGAAATCTTTTGCTGACAAAGAGATTTGTGAAGGACTAATAGTGGAGTTCCCAAAAGAATTAGGCGAAGACTATGTCTCAAAACCGATTCATCTTCAAGGTAAGCATATCGATAGATGCAATTTTGAGAGAACTACCGTTTTCTATAGGTACAAACATTGATTTTTATCGACCGACCGCAATGAGTCAACTGTTCGACATACGAAAACAATTTCCCAACTCTGACGAAATATATTTCATCGCTGGCAATACAGGAGAAACATTCGATGCCATCGTTCATCAACATCGCTATTCACGACTTGTTCATCTCACTGGAATTTCCGAATTACAACAGTTGTCCGAGCAATCGAATGGTCTCTCAATCGGTGCATGTGTAACTATATCACAGTTAAAAGATCATGTCCAACAATATCAAGAACAACAACTCTTTCGAATCTTGCCGGAACAACTTGATTTCAATGCTGATCGACAGATACGAAATCAGGCAACTGTTGGAGGACATGTGTTAAATCATAGTCGCAAACACACTTCTGATCTCTTGCCAATTTTCTATGTATGCCAAACAAAATTACGATTCGCTCATTTGTTAAATAAAAAAGAAATTGAAATCAATATTCAAGATATAAAAACAACAGATCTGAATGACCTCTTACTCGTGTCAATCTTTATTCCATTTTTAAGTACTGATGAATACCTTCAATCTTATAAACAAGCACATCGACGGAAACATGATACTGGCATTGTCACAGGTGCGTTTCGTTTGAAATTGGATGAAAAGACACAGCAGATCCAATCGTTTAATATGGCATTCGGTGGTTTTGGTGATGGTGTTATTCTGATACCTGAAAAGACAATGGATTACGTAAATAGCGGTGAACTTGAATGGACAAAATACGAGGTCATGACAAATGTTAAGAATCATCTCTTGGAAGAAATACAACTGGATAAGTTTTCGGAAAACGGACAGCCGGAATATCGGTAAATACCTTTTTTTTATAGTAATTTGAAACAAAATTCAATTTGTTCTAGTCGTGCTTTGGTAATTTCATTCTTATTCAAATTCTATCTTCACGTTGCTAATCAATCCGCAGAACTTTTTCAAAAACAACGTCCTGTCTCTCATAGTGAACAAATATTCGACACTTCAAAACAAACCAAATACGTTCATCAGTCATCCATCCATCACAATGCTTATATTCACGCGACCGGTGAAGCAAAATATGTTGACGATCTCCCTTCAGCACACAACACACTTCATGGTGCACTTGTTTTTAGTACCAAATGTTATGCAAATATTTTATCAATCAATACAGAAGAAGCTGAATCGACTCCAGGTTTCGTCAAATTCTATTCATATCATGATATTCCACCGACCGGTTCAAATCGATTCGGTCCAATAGTAAAAGATGAAGAAGTATTTCCTTCAAAAACTGTGCATTGTATGGATATGGTCATTGGATTGTGTGTTGCAGATACGGAAGAACATGCAAGGCAAGCAGCACGATTAGTTCGCATCGAATATGAAGAATTAACGCCTGTGATTCTAACAATTGATGAAGCTATTGAACACGAAAGTTATTTAGGTCCACCTGGTCAACAAGAACCAGTTTTAGAAACTGGAAATATTGAAAAAGGCTTTAACAAGTCAGATCATGTTCTCGAAGGAACGTTTTATAGCGGTGCTCAAGAACATTTCTATATGGAACCAAATGCTTATCTGGCACAACCGATCAGTGAAGGACATTATACACAATTACATCTATATGCATCAACACAAGGAGCAAGTACAATTCAAGAATCAGTCGCAGAAACATTGGGTATTAATAACACTTGAAATTATAATCTTTCTTTGAATATTTTGTTTTCTACGGTTAGGTCTCAATTCGAATGAAGTCATTTGTCATGTTTTGCGTGTAGGTGGTGGATTCGGCGGTAAAGAATCACGTAACATTATTCCATGTGTCGCAACGGCTCTCGCTGCATACAATTTGCAACAACCAGTACGTTTGTGTCTGACGCGTGAGGAAGATATGAAATTAACTGGTCATCGTCATCCGTTTAAATTTCATTACAAAGTTGGTTTTATGAAAGACGGTCAATTGAAATCCGTCGACCTTCAACTCTTTGCCAATGGCGGTTGCACAACCGATTCAAGTTTATTGATGCTTGAACGCGCAATGTTACACTGCGATAATATTTATAAATGTGAAAATATGCGAGTGAGAGGACGCGTCTGTCGAACCAATTTACCAAGTAACACAGCGATGAGAGGATTTGGTGGTCCTGAAGCTCTCTTAGCAGCAGAAGTGATTATCGATCATATTCACAGTTATTTACAATTGAGTGATGATCCATCAATTATACGTGAATTGAATATGTATAAACCAGGTGAACGTACATATTTTAGTCAAGAGTTAGAGAAGAAAGATTGGCATGTACCGCAAATGTGGAAGAAATTAAAAGAATCAGGACAATATGACCAACGTTTGAAAGATGTGAATGAATTCAATAAACAAAATCAATATCGAAAACGAGGATTGAGTATAATAGGAACTAAATTTGGTATTGGAGCACCATCAGCACTAGTTTTTCATCAAGCTGGTGCATTAGTCACAATCTACAAAGATGGCAGTGTTTTGATAACACATGGTGGTATGTATTTAGCCGATTTACTTACAATTAAGTTTATTTCTGTGTTTGTAGGCATTGAATTAGGCCAAGGACTTCAAATAAAAATGATTCAAATTACTGCTGAACAACTTGATATCGAAATCGAATTAATTCGTTTTCACGAAACAGCTACAGATAAAATACCGAATGCAACACCAACAGTTGGATCGTTATCAGCAGATCTGTACGGTCCTGCACTAATCAATGCTTGTCAGCAATTAAATAAAAATCTTGCACCGATAAAACGAAAACATCCAGCCTCATCATGGAAGGACTTAATCGAACAAGCGTACCAGGAACGTGTCCCATTGTCCGCACACGGTTTTTATGGTGTACCCGAGAAATTCATAAAGTGTAGTTATGCGAAAAATGAAATTAATTTTATGTATTTCACACAGGGAGTCGGTATGAGTGAAGTAGAGATTGACTGTTTAACTGGTGATTTTCATATTATACGCACTGATATTTTAATGGATTTTGGAAAATCATTGAATCCATTTATTGATATTGGACAAATTGAAGGTGAGCGACGTTTTAGAATATTTGAGATTCAAATCTTCCCTTCCGTTTTCTAGGAGCATTTGTGAAAGGTGTCGGTTATTTGACTATAGAAGAACTTATTCAAGGTGATTCTCAACATCCATGGATATCCCAACCGGGCTCCCTGCACAATGCTAATCCAAATAAATATAAACTACCAATGGCAAACGATGTGCCAATTGATTTTCGTGTTACACTTCTAAATGAACATGAAATGAGTGATCAAGCTGTCTGTTATTCGTCAAAAGCAGTCGGTGAACCACCGTTATTTTTATCGGCAACTGTCTTTTTAGCGATTAAACAGGCGATTGCAGCTTATCGCACTGGACGAGAACCGTTCCTATTGAACGTTCCATTAACATGTGAACGAATACGAATGGCATGTAAAGACGAAATAGTCGATTCCGTTGTTACAGAAGACAAAGATCATGTGTTTCAAGCATGTGGCAGCTTTTAAAGCTATTTTTAATCGTTAATCGAGTCGTATTCCATAGTTGATTTCAAAGTTTCCATCTTCTTTTTAAGACTATTGTTCTATGAAATAAACTTACATATTTTTTTTAAAAGTAATTATCAAAATGTGGAATTCTATAAGCAATTTAGAAAAATATTACAGCGTTGTCTGGATTTGATGTGGTTCACCGTACATGCATAATTTCAAACTTGAATTTAATCATTCAGATATTCGGCTGATCGTACAAACAGTAAACAGCCAAGTCGTTGAATTTCTCAATGCAGTTCCGCCCAGACACAATACTCATTGTAAAATTTCATTTTATTCGTTAAAAGCTCTTTCGATCAAATCTGTATAGAAATTCTTTCTTTTCGACTTTGTAAAAAACGATAACACGTCAATTATAAGCAGATGTCCAAGTCATATTTAGATCAAAAATTTTATGAGGACAAATTAATTATTTTCATTTATCAACTGTGATGAAGTCAGATGAAGAGGAAGTAGAACTGTGGTTATAAAAGTCAAAGATCGATGACTAATCTGATAGATGGATAATCATTTCAGATTTCAGATTTGAAAATCTACAACATAACACCAAACAGGATCTAGTAGATATTGCATGGATTTCTTTATATTCATGGTGCGATCCATTTGAATCAAAAGTTGAAAATAGAAGTGAAACTTGAATTCGTCTGCAATATCCCTGAACATTGTGTTCACAAAGTACATGAATGTCGGTAAAATGAGACAAAAATTTGTGAAAGAGGAAACGAATCATAAAATGTGTAGCTCGAGTTCTCAATATCTGAGTTTGATACAACTTTCCGGCTGCGGAGACCTCTTTTTTTTTTGTCTATCTACTCCACACCTTTTTTAGATCGCATGATGCAATGGCTAATTGCGAACCAAGGAAGCGAAACAATGGTTTACATTGAATATCAAATCGATCGGATATTTATAGTGTAAACGCGTTATGAGTAATATGAAAAAGAAACATAATTAATCAAATGTCGAATTGTAATGATATGTAAAGCAAAGATGATCACTTTTTAGAAACATCAAATTTATTTTCGTTGCCGAATGACTTACTACTCGATCATGTTTTTGTTTATCTTCGTTCAACTGATCTTGTCTATACATTTGGACAATTATGTAATCGTCTTCTCTATGCACATCTTCATCATGTTGATTTGTCAACTAGTGATACATTTGCTGTTTCAATTGATGAATGGTTATGTTACTTATCGTCTACGGAAAAGAAAACTTTATCCCTTCGAATTAACCTTCACTGTTGCGATTCTTTACCTTTCTCTCAACTCTCCAAACTCATTCGTCTCAATCTTCAAATCACGAGTGGATCACCAAATGTATCTGAAATACGTGCATTGGCTCAACTTAAAGAACTCTCGATTACTTCAATTTATGAGAAACTCGAGAGACTAGAAGGATTGACACTATTTATATGGCAAGTAGGCAGTTGTCTCGAAACCGTATCGGCTTTCAATTGGTTCATACTGGATTACGTCGATGTTTCCCCTCATTCTTTACGTTCTCTTCTGGTTAATGAAAAACTGACACGTTTATCACTTGATTTGTGCCATATTAATTTTGTCGCTTCCATTAGTTATCAGAATTACTTTGTATTCTGATTATGATCTCAATGGCAGTCTATTCACATCTGTAGAACGAACATGTCCGTTTTTACGTCATCTAGGTTTTCAACAATTTGGTAACTTAGACATTGATCTTATACACGATATACAATTGATGCTGCCAACAGTGTATGGACTTTATTTCGACGATATCATATTTTCGTCTTTTCTCTTTAATATCTAATCTAGCGCGTCTCACTACTCATCAATGTACTTTTCCTGCTATCGACATCATCGATAACACGATCAATGCATTTGGACGTGTTGTCAAGGTGACAATAATCGAATAAGGTTTTCAAAAAAACAACAAATCAATATGACTCATTTGTAGTTCTATATGGCAAAAAAAGAGAATTGGCAAGGTTTTCTCGATTGTTCTCGTTATGAAGAAGCATCAAATGAATATCAACAACACTATCATTTACTATCAAATGCACTAATACATAAAATTTCTTTGAGATTATTGCTTCTCGCATCATCGTTACTCATTATTGTCAAAACTACATAATACATTCACTTCAATTCGAATTTACAATCCTATTCTTGATCATTCACATGGATAGTTCCAAATTGATATATCAGTAACATCCAATCGGACATACATTTTGCTATTCTCAAATTAATCAAATAAATGTAATATCAAAATCTCTTTTTCTTATTGGAGCGCCTTGTGTGTATCGCCTATCTGAGCTTACGATTCTTCATTTCTCTCCTAGTTTTAATAAAAATGAAGTCAGTTAATTGTTTATCAGTTTGCAGCGTCTCTTCTATTCCAAAGGAAAATATGGGATGCATAGAAGAACAGTGGTAAAAGTATGGTAGCAAAGAAAAGTTGATACTTGATACAATACAAAAAACACATGCGATTCTTCTTCCGAATCATATTCGAAATTATCTAAATTGATAAAACAAGTTTCATAACATTTGTCTGTGTAACTAGATTAGGTTTTGAATACTTCGTCGCAACAAGAAAAATGTCTAGCGTGTTGATTGATACTTCTCATCTTTTTCTTCTGCATTAGTAAAAAAATTGATTCGCTGATTTGACAATTCATCCATTACTAAGAAATGCTGCGAGCCAAGCACATCATTTATTCATTAAAATCACACAAAAAAGTTCATTCGCAACTGATTTTTTCTGAGCTCATCATTTTGTCGTGATTAAGTAAAAAACCATATCAATCCTCGACAGGTTGATTCTTTGTTTGGTTGGCACCGTCTGTTATATCTGCGTATAGCAAGAAAAACCAAGACAAAGAGCACAATCAGTAGTATAACAATGAGCAAAGGTACACCGTATCGAACAATATAATCTTCCGTACAATAATTTCGTCCGTCCGATTGACGTTTACGTCGATGTCGCACTTGTCTAGGTGGAGGTGTGGCATGGTCATCTGTTATTGCTAAAGCTACTTGTTGAGTATCAGAATCAAATGACATTTCTTTCAATTTTAATAAAAGAAGTACGAAACCGCTGTTGTATAAGTATGATCAGACGTCAATCACTTCACGACTGATTCTTCTTTGACTAAAACGCCTTTTTACAGTTGAATATAATCTGTTGCCATAATCACTGTTTGTCCTGATTCATGTTATTGACATAATTGTAACTCTACCCAATTTCTTTTTTCGTTATTCATGTGTTTTTCAACATTTCAAAGTCGAGTTCTGCAATCTTTTAACAAAAATATTACACTCGAAATATTCATGTGTACAAATGCAACTAAACAATCCTTGAGATATTGAATATATTTCCATATATAAACTTGACATTACCGATATTTATTCTCGATTCATTTGTCGCATCAAATTTCAACTATTTTTGTCTTGTTTCTTATTCACATCTCAATTCCTCGATAAGATGACGCTTTCACATTGACAAAACATTCATTCGCAATTTACACTAATGAAAAACGACATCAACTATTTTATCATTTGAATCTCTTGTTTTGTTTATCTTGATTGATTGATAAATGAAAAACAATATTGATCAGAAACAAGATATTTTGATGTGATACTCTTCTCCTTCACAACTATGACTAATGAAAATGCTTCTCATTTAACTTGTTTTGTTATTTTGAATGTTTTTTGCTCCTGACACGAACGCTGACTCAGTTGTATGAATCAGAAAGAAAGAGAGAGAGAGAGAAAAGTTAGTTTTTCTACATCGCAATTATCTCCTCTGGTCAAAGAGATAAATCTCGTGTTGAAGAAAGAGAAAAAAGAACGAACATCGAATTAATCACGTCAAGAATGTTTGAGTAAAATATTCTTTAACAAGGTCATATCTCATATTCTTCTTCATCTTCTTTTCATTGTCCACCTTTTCTTTTCTGTTTGTGCTATATTGATATCACAACTTCTCTTATAGAGTATACACTTATATACATAAGTATACAAAAGGTCATCTATACCGACGCTGAATAACAAGTCCGTACTTCTTTTTCGCTCGTTCTCCAAGAGAATGGGAGAAAAAAAAAGAAAGCGGTTGAACACTATGAAAAGCGCGCAATTGTCGCCGTTCGTTTCTCGTCTATTTTTTCCTTCTCTCTCTCTCCCCTTCCCTTAGCTTTAACATCTCCACTACTTCGTTTTTTCTCTTTTCTTCTCTCCAGTCAGTCGTTAGTCATATGTTCGGCATCGCTAGTCGAGTGTAGTAGCCACAACTACAAACATATACATCATTGTTGTCATCGTCATTCCCACTGTTTCTTGTGTAGACCAATCCAACCAACTGCTGTGGAAATTGATTCGACACCATGAGTAAAGTGAGTGGCTCTGTCTGCTGTGTATGTGTCTCTCTTTCCCTCTTCCGTCCATCTGTTGCCATTATGCACGCTCTGACTAATGGATATTTTATCGCTATGAAAATATTCTGTTTTTAGGTTTGATAATAAAAAAGACCGGATATCAATGGATGCTCTATTTGGTTCAATTCAAGTATCTTCATTTATTAAAATCAAACGATCTGATGGTCGTGTGCATCTAGCTAAAGTTGTTCAGCTTTCATCCGAATCGAAATCCGTTGGTGTCGAATGGAATGAACATGGTGAAATCAAAGGAAAAGAAATTTTACTCGATCTCGTCTATGAACTTAATAATGAATTACGGCCTAATCAATCATTAAAACAGTCATCAACAGTTGTCAATCAACAGATTCGACCAACAGCTGCTATTCCTGTTACATCGACTAGTCTATCATCAAGTCGATTAACTTTAGATATCGATACATTAGAACGTGAGTATAATTCTCGACCGCCGCCAACGCTTCCACCACAATTATTACAAAGAATTCAGCAACACCCGGCATCTATACAAACAACTTCAACACCACTTCCACCACCACCACCACCACCACCTCAACTATTAAACGGCACAATTAATGCTACAACACAAGAGAAAACAAATGGATCAACATCCGATACAAATAATACTGTTGCCATGCGTGCAATTCGACGTCCGGCCGCTCAAACCAATGTCTCATCGACAAAATTAAGTATTCCATCCTCATCCTCGATTCCAGCAGCAACACCTTCAATTGAACAACAGTTTCAAATCCCTCCTCCCGTTAATAATAAGAGTGAACGTCGTCTTTCTCGTCTTCCCATCGTTCAACAATCATCAACGACACCAACTTCCGTGCCCGATCCTCCACCATCTATTGGTTTACATGGTCCATTCGGACAAATGATTCTTGATTACCGTTCAACTGTTAACTATACTCCAATTACGAATTCAAACATGAAAGACTATCAAGTTAATCAAAAAGATCTTCGTATATGCGTTGCTGTTCGAAAACGTCCATTGAATAAACGAGAAATCGCCAAGAAAGATAATGATGTGATTACAATCCCAAATAAAGATCATTGTCTTGTTCATGTTCCAAAATCGAAAGTTGATTTAACAAAATATCTCGATAATCAAACATTTAAGTAAGTACAAAAAAGTAAACTTACATTCGATTAAACATTGTAAGCATATTTCTGTTTAGATTTGATTATACATTTNCCGTTGGTGTCGAATGGAATGAACATGGTGAAATCAAAGGAAAAGAAATTTTACTCGATCTCGTCTATGAACTTAATAATGAATTACGGCCTAATCAATCATTAAAACAGTCATCAACAGTCGTCAATCAACAGATTCGACCAACAGCTGCTATTCCTGTTACATCGACTAGTCTATCATCAAGTCGATTAACTTTAGATATTGATACATTAGAACGTGAGTATAATTCTCGACCGCCGCCAACACTTCCACCACAATTATTACAAAGAATTCAACAACACCCGGCATCTATACAAACAACTTCAACACCACTTCCACCACCGCCCCAACTATTAAACGGCACAATCAATGCCACAACACAAGAGAAAGCAAATGGATCAACATCCGATACAAATAATACTGTTGCCATGCGTGCAATTCGACGTCCGGCCGCTCAAACTAATGTCTCATCCACAAAATTAAGTATTCCATCGTCATCCTCGATTCCAGCAGCAACACCTTCAATTGAACAACAATTTCAAATCCCTCCTCCCGTTAATAACAAGAGTGAACGTCGTCTTTCTCGTCTTCCCATCGTTCAACAATCATCAACGACGCCAACATCCGTGCCCGATCCTCCACCATCTATTGGTTTACACGGTCCATTCGGACAAATGATTCTTGACTACCGTTCAACTGTTAACTATACTCCAATTACGAATTCAAACATGAAAGACTATCAAGTTAATCAAAAAGATCTTCGTATTTGTGTCGCTGTTCGAAAACGTCCATTGAATAAACGAGAAATCGCCAAGAAAGATAATGATGTGATTACAATCCCAAATAAAGATCATTGTCTTGTTCATGTTCCAAAATCGAAAGTTGATTTAACAAAATATCTCGATAATCAAACATTTAAGTAAGTACAAAAAAGTAAACTTACATTCGATTAAACATTGTAAGCATATTTCTGTTTAGATTTGATTATACATTTGATGAACGAGCTTCGAATGATCTGGTCTATCGTTACACAGCTGCACCTTTGATTGATACGATATTCAACGGTGGAAATGCGACAGTATTTGCCTATGGTCAGACTGGTTCTGGTTCGTAATGAGCTCTTCTCTTTTGTTTGTGTTCATCATTTCTTTTTTCAAAATTGTAGGAAAGACATTTACAATGGGTGGTGATTTATCTTCAAGCAAAACTGACTATTCTCATGGAGTTTATGCTCAAACAGCTCGTGATATTTTTCAGCGTTTATCTCTACCTCAATATCGTTCATCAATTGAAATATTCGTTACATTTTATGAAATCTACTGTGGCAAAGTCTTTGATTTACTCAACAACAAGAAACGTCTTCGTGTCTTAGAAGATCAGAAAGGTCTTGTACAAGTATGTGATCGTAAAGAACAACAAGTCAAATCTGTTCAAGATGTTTTGAACATTATTCAAAGTAAGAGAATCATTCACTCAGAAATTTAACTTTGAAAGATTGAATTTTCCGCTTTAATTGATTGCTATAGCAAAAAAATATTTTTTCATAATTATTTAGATGGAATGAGTATTCGAACATCAGGCACAACAGCTGCAAATTCCAATTCGTCTCGATCGCATGCTGTTCTTCAAATTATTCTTAAAACATCATCGCCTATCACTGCGCAATCGAATATATCATCATCGTCGCGTAATAATAATCATAATAATCCAGCCGTACCTCGTCGTTTGATGAAAGAAGTTGGTAAAATGTCATTAATTGATCTGGCTGGTTCAGAACGTGGTAAAGACACCGCAAGTGGTGATCGTTTGCAACGTATGGAAGGTTCCGAAATCAATAAATCATTATTGGCATTAAAAGAATGTATTCGCGCGTTGGGTCGTGGTGATGGCTGTCATGTCCCATTTCGTGGTTCAACATTAACAAAAGTTTTACGTGATTCATTTATTGGTGATAAATCTAAGGTTTGTATGATTGCAATGGTTTCACCGACGCATTCAGATGTCGAAAATACTATGAATACATTACGTTATGCTGATCGAGTTAAAGAATTAAGAAGTGGTGATGGTGATGTAATGAATGCAAATGAAGATGATGAAATGAAAATCAATGATTTAGCTACGAAAAGTAATTTGAAGAATCAGTTTTCCTTAATTTTGAAGTTTCGAATTTTCAGTTTTACCTCAACATAATCATAAAACTCGCCATTATCATCCGGATGGTTCGGCTTCGTCAAATGAAAGTACAAGTTCATCATCGAATGATGACGAATATATCGATGATAACGAGGATGAACAGAACGAAGCACTAGCTTCATATGCAGCACAAGTTGAACATTTGCAAGAATATGAAGAAGCTCTATTCGATACGTGTCAAGATGTTCTCACGAATAAGGAACCGATTTTAACTCGACAGTTACGAGGGATTGTGAAACGCGCACAAGACACAGTCGATTATGATCAAGAGAAATTTGTCAATGAATTACGTGCAAATTTACTGGAACGCCAACAAGTCCTGGACGAACTTCAAGCACGTTTACAAGCATTTTCGGAGTGTCTTCAACAAGAAGAACAAGTTGCTGCACAGCAACGGACCAAACAACATCAGTCAAATAACAATAGGTTTTAAACAAAACCTTTTATTTTTTTTATTCATTCACATATGTTATCTTTTCTTTTCTTCTTCTTCCACTTTTTGCCTTTTATCAATTTGAACATGTGTGTGAAAATTATGAATGATGATTAATCTATGCTTCGACAAAGCCAATAAGTTAATAATAAATTTCTTTTAACTGACAGAGAAAATGATATCTTTGCTTACGGATCGCTATCGTTCTACTACATAATAATGGCCACTGCATAAATATGTAGACCGGAAACAAAACGTAATTTTGACGAGACGAATAGATGTGTAGAAACAGAAAGAATTGTGGTGACCTCATCGGTGTAAAGCTAGCACGAAGAAACAATGCGTTAGCTAAAAGCTTTTTTCACCAAATAAGTCCCGTCCATGGAAACTACAACATTCGACTCAGAATTTAAGTCTGCATCGAATGGTGGTACTTTTATTCATGGGACAAACTTTGAAAATTTCTTTTTAGAGTCTTGTCTCATATATAGGAAAACAATTAAGATGTCGGTAAAAACTTTTTCAAAGTTTGTCCCATGAATAAAAGTACCATCATTCGATGCAGGATTAAATCCTGAGTTGAAGGGTGTAGTTTCCATGGATGGGACTTATTTGGTAAAGAAGGTTTTAGCTAACACATTGTTAATAAGCGTACTGTTCCTCTCATCTTCCCATAATCAGGAAAAAGCCATATAATTCCGATTATCTCTGTATGTATTACGAGAGAATTAAGTGTTCGAAATTCGAACGATCATAATGCATATTATAAACAATGCATTTCCCTTTTTGACAACCTTAAGCACTCACCATAATCCTCAGTTTTTGACATAACTCTTTTGAATGATAAATAAATAGCGTAGAACTTGCGCCAGAGTAAAAATGAATACCTTGTCTTTTTCTGCCTATCATTTCATCCTCAAAAGATGTATGTCAATGAAGAACATCTAAGCTTATTTCAACCGAACTTTACAAACACATACACTAAAAGTTTCTGTATATATATATATTCAAATTGATTCTTTTCTCCTTTTTCTTCCTCTTATTTTCACATCACATTGCTACGAGGCATCAGTTTATTTAACAACCGATTTGTTTATCTTTTTTTCCCTTCTACTTTTAGTTCGTTTCGATCATAGAAGATTCGAAAAGTGCTACAAACAACAGAAACGAACAGGCAGAAGTAGAAGGAAGAATTTCATCGAGACACATTCTCTTACTTCTTCAATTTCACTTCTGACTTGTACAATGTCGGCTGACAGACAAAATATCATAACACCAGGCGTCGTCAATGATCTACTCGATCCCTACGCCTGTTCATGTCTTCCAACATCTTATCATTACACGATTTGCAGTAAAATCAAATGGTCTACGCTATCGATAACTGTTGCTTTAATTATCATTGTAAGTAAAGGAAATCAATTTCTACTCATTTCACACGATCTTCTTTTAGATTGTTTATGCTAGTAGTGGATTGTATACTTTGATCGATGTAACAACATTGATGTCAATTGATTTCACGGATAATAAAAACGGTAGTTTATTGTATTTGTTGAAATCGAATTGGTTTTGTGTACTTCTAGAAACGATATTTTGGTCAATACTCTCATCTCCTGAAACGATTCGTGTTAGTTGGATATCCCTTTGTGTTTATTTTTTGATCGTTCTCCTGACTATTCTTCTCCTTTGTGGAATTCAATTAGTAAAATATGAACCGATTTGATAAATCATCTGTGAATAGATGCTTCTTCCTTAGAGCAAACCATGGCTTTTATTTCTTTGGTCAATATTAATGATTGTGATGCTACTTGCTGATGGAATTGTTACTGTTCTTTCTCTTATACAACATCATCAACAGGTTTATTGATTTTCATGTAAAGTCGAATCCATTTGTTTGGAAATATTGTTTAGACGTATCGACCACCAAAACAAGTGAAAATTCTCTTTGTCGTTATGGTGATTCGTCTTACGGTTTCGGTTAGTTCAAAACGAAAATTTTTCTTCAGAGATAATTAATCCCAAACTTACGTTTCTCTTCGAAGTTATGCGGTATTTTCATCGCTATTTTTCACTTTCGACGATTAAATAAAGCCCACAGTGAATATATCGATCGACAAGTAAATATCCGCTCGCCATCTTCTCATCTCTATTGCAGCTATACTTTAGAGAATGTTAGTTCGCTACAATGCTGAGTCGACATGTTCATCTCACGATAATTCATGGGCACCTACTGACAGCCTTTTAAATCCACCAAAAGATCCAAGCATCGATTATCGAATATCTGATGTTCCACTACCATTGACATTACCGAGAGCAAAACTGGCGACGATACAACGGCGTCCATTGTCGACTATGTTTCGATCTCGAAACGAACGTTTACAAGACGATTCAAACGAAGATATTAGATATAATGTTCCACTGGATGAACGGTTTTATCCTCAACAATTGTAAAAAAAGAAGAATTTGATATTTCCTTAAATAAAACGTTTTACATTTTTATCATTTATTGACTTACACGTCTTGGCTTCCGCAGCCGCGCCTTTACAACAGAATGCTTTCATTTTATTTACAGCAGCAATCCTTTTTTGAAAATCGTTTTACTACTGAGCAGTCGTTTTTCATGAAGCTAGAGACTTCGCAATGATGATTCATTGTATCAGTTCTGATCTTTTAGCGGATCAGATTGAAATCAGAATACTGATTTCATCAGTGATATCGAAGACAGTCACAATCGTGAAAGTGTACGTCATGTCCACCAATAGAATACACATTCGAAAAATGCTGTTGACGGTAACAAAACCGAGATTTTCAAATTTAACTATTCTCTTCAGGTGTTTGTTTAAAAAGTTTTATTTGATAGTCAAGAAATTATCGAATAAGACGTTTATGTGAACTTCTTGTGGTGAATGCCCTGTGGAACGAACAGGTGATCATAAAGGTTAATCTACAAAAGAAAATAGAGTGTTTTATTATAAAATACGTCCTATGAAACTCACTTTTTAAATAATCAAAGATTCCTTTTCTCAATTCATTCACCTGAAGAAAACAGAACAGTAATTTTTTTTAAAGTAAGAAAAGTCCTACCGAATAAAATCTCTCGGCTAATTCACTACATTTTTTAGAGGTTTCGGCTACACTTGGTATTAGTACGACTCGACTCATAATAGACCAGTACGACTAACAAAATGTTGAAACAAATCTTTATCAATTAACAGAAGCAAAATGAGAAGCTTACATCCGCTGTTGATTTGTATCGGTATGTGGTATTTCTCAATCAGTTTGTTGACAATCGCAACACATTTTTCCTTGTTTCATTCACCAGCTGTTTCGATTTCACCGATGAATACCTTGATAAAATGGATGCGATCTTCTTTCAACTGTTCTAACTAAAATTTAAAAAAAGGTGATTAATCGTAGTCATTTTTATTTACCTCCTCTATTATCGCCATCGTTTCTCTTATTTGATCTACTCTGTGTATGATACTTTTATGAAAAACACGCGCTGAGTGAGTAAAGAGATAATTGAGAAGAGAGACTACGAAATGAGCGATAATGAACAATAGCGACACGAAGAGGCAAAGAAAGTGAGAACCAATGAAAAATACATACCATCGTTTTCTTTCAACTTCACGAGTGTTAGCGTTCGGTTGCGTGTGGTTACGAGAGAAAAAGGGAGACGTTCGTGCATGTGGTATTCCCTAGGCCGAAGAATCCGGCACGGATCTGAGGGGTTCTAGAGCATTCCGGGCACTTCATGGAAGCACTATTGCTGAGAAAAGATTCAGCGGCTGGACTTACCGAGCTTCACCTGCAACCGACCGGAACCTGTCATGAACAGCTGTCAGATACGGTCATATAATTTCTCCACCGAATTTTGAGCATATTACAGGCGTTTCCAGCTGGAAAATAAGAGGTTGCCTGCAGGTTTTCGTCGGAAATTAGCGAAATACTGCGCCCGGAACCATCGCCCTGGATCGATATCCTAGTTTATTCAAACTAAAAATTACAGTTGAATAAACACGATTTATATATAATAGATAGGAGATAGAGAAAGAGTGCACGCAAAGGAGCCAGGCAGTGAATGTATCTCACCGAGAAAGAATTTAGAAAACATATGTTTATACGTATTAGAGATGTGCGACATCTCTGTAACAGCGAGTATCACGGTGGAGACAATAAATATCAAATTAAAGTGACAAGTAGTCATACCGACTACTTAGAAGGAAACGACGAACATCTCGATGAAGAACAGAAAAGGATAGTTGCATGTGTTCGGGTTTGATACGTACTTAGCGAAAGTTATCTGAGCAGGAGAGGCGAACTAGTTTCGATATTATACACATCATTGGACTTGTACGCGAACACATTGTTTCTTCGTGCTAGCTTCACACCGATAGATTAATTTTTCAATCAACAACAGCAGGAATTGATCATGGAAAAAATAGCCATTTTTTGCTGGTCAGAAGACAGAGCTTCTATCATAGATTACGTTCAAAATTGACGCTCAATATACAATGAGAGTTCATCACCGGTGTTCAGCTGTTCGACATGGCCTGTCTCTAATTTGTACTTGTATTCACGCATTTCTGTCAATCATTTATGTCGCTATATAAAGGGTCATTTATTAGTTAAAAACACATCTGTTCTCAATTTTTTTCACATATTTACAGAGAAATACAAACGATCCTTTGAATAGATGAAATTATATATTTGACGATCGTATACGAAAATCGAGCTCAAATGCTGCGGAAGGAAAAGGCATTTCGACAAATATTTCATTCATTTGATCTTGAAGAACAGGAGATGTTTTTGAGAGAAATTCTCTTCTACAAATGAAAATCCTTCATTCTTTTTCACATTAAACGTTGAATAAGATATCTTGGGCTTATGTTTGTATCAGTATAGTATCAAACTCAAAACTTGAATTCGAGTATTCAATTATTTGAGAATTCTCACTGACCGGGCCTTCCGCAGCACCTTCGATTCCTGCCATCGCCCGCGCTCGATCTGATTGATTCTGTAAAACAAAAAAGTTGTCCTTTTATGAAAACTAGCTTGCACAGAAAAGAAACATCTCTTCCTCTTGTAGAACAACTCTATCTTAGAAGGGTAATGTGACCTTCTAAGCTAACAAAAACCACCTATCTTTTCTCAAATAGCAAGAGAAAAACGCACCATAAATATTACAAACAATGGCGATATCGTACAACAGATAATCAGTTGAACGAATCAGGCAAACGACGGGTAAAGTTTAAAACATATAAATGAACGGCTAGCAGTAGATCGAACAAAGATAAACGATGTTATATCATTCAGTAGTTGCGACAATTAGTAAGACAACAATAGTGATAACATGGTAAAATGGGAGATAAAGGAAAAAGAAGATATCAAATATAATTTATATCGAAATTATCGTACGATACACTAGCCTGTAAGAATGTGCCACAAGCAGCAAAAGATCTTGTCAAAGGTTTACTAACAGTTGACCCATCGAAACCCATGGGTTCGCGGCTCTAGTGTGTCGACAATGCATGATCATCTGATGACGCCCAATGTTCTTTGCCAGGAATCTCGATCACTGATTGTAAGTTATTCATTTCTATTTTTGAACTACCAGGATAGAATAAAACAATGACATCTATTCGTCAAGGTTCGTGCTGTCAATGTGACGATGCGTGCATTTCAAAAAGCTGGTCAATTTCAATTATCATCTGCTATCGATGACCTTCTTGTTCGTCGTCGTTACACAAAACGATCAACTGATTCATGTTCATCGATATCAAGTTCAGCAACAACAACTACAATCTTGAGCTTCGTTGATGTTCGCGAAGCGAATATTTTATTTGTTTTAATGTTAAAAACGCGAATATCGGCCAAAATGTATCTAGGCTAAAAGTGACCAAAGAATTATGATGCGACAAATAAAAGCATAACTTACGTTTCATTAGTATGGTTAGAATGGCTGATCGAATTTCAGGGAGCTACAATACGATGACGAAAAGGAACGATCTTGCGCCGTCAAAGTGGATAGAAATGTATCACTTACCCGATATATAGCATCGGCTAAATCACGATTGGTAGCAAATATAACGCCTCCTGCTCCGCCGCCACTTCCGGTTACTTGTGTGATTGCCAATAACAACCCAGGTCGAACAATCCGGCACGGAAACGGCCGGTTCCATGGTATTACAGAGATTTCATGGAAGCAGTATTCCCGATGAGCGGATCCGGTGACCGGATTTATCAAGTTTGGACCGGAACCGACAGAAACATGTCAAAACCGGTAGCCGGAAATGGTTACCGCTTTTCTCCATCGGATTCCTGACATTTTCCGGGCGGGTTCCGCTCAGAAATGGCTAGTTTCCTCAGGGATTTTGTCGGAAATTCATGGAATCCTACTTCAGGAATCATCGTCCTGGGAAGTCCTTTAAAGAAAATATCCATGCGAATGATTATATGAACGCCGAAAAAAGTATTTAAATTAAAGCTCACGAGATTTGCCACGGAAAATATCTCAACCAACATCCGTAACGATTTGTCGCAGTTTGCCATGCTTGCATTGGTTCCAGACGCGTTGACGGCATTGACTACGCCTTCGATGACCGATATGATCCGGACTCGATCTTGTGGATTGTGCAAAAAAAACACAGAGAATTGTATTTTCATGGAAACTAGTCTACACAGAAGAAAAATACCTCTTCCTGTACTAGAACAGCCATGTCTGAGACGGATTATGATCTTCTACGCTAAGAAAATTGACCTATCTTTTCTCGCGAAGCAAGAGCACAATGAGCAGAAGAAAGAATGAATCAGATAACAACGGACAAAGTTTACAACACGCAAATAATCGACTAACTTATGTGGTCGATTGTCCACTTTTCATGTATGTTGGACGAGTGAAAAATGTTGTTTTATATATACCCGCGCACACACAAGCGAGAGAGTGATATCGGGATGATTTTAGTGCTTGCCTTTAGCAAGATATCGAGTGAAAACAGTATGCCTAGATCGAAGAGAGATACTCGATGTTATATCGTTCACCAGCCGTGACGACTAGTAAGAGAATGAAAAAGAAAAAAATCAAATATATATTAAACAAGGCATCCATGTTAATCGAAATTACGTCAAAGGGGCTGTTGGATATCCTCATGATTCGCGGATCACACATTGATCGCACAAATTTAACTGATATACATACAGTTTTCTGAAGGCGTGAGCACTGGAAATCTCTCTGCTTGAAACCGTTAGTAGATTCTTGTCATCAATCTACATAATCTAAATGAAATTGTTTTACTCAATGACCCATTTTTACATTGTTTGCAGAACAAGAATATGGATGAAGGAAGATTTATCGTTTTCATTGATTGATTGAGGGTGTAGCTGACATAAAACTATGTATTCACTCGCCTCTTCGGTGTTCGTCAGATAATGATGATAGAAGAACTCTTTTAATATTTCTCATACAGCAGAAAAGGCGATATATTTATTGTGTATGAGAATAAGTGCTAAAATCAAGTAGCATATCACTTCTTGGATAAAACTAGAAAATGGTCATAGTTCATTCTTTTATTTACTAGAAACCATTTGTTCACTTAACTTCCATAAACGTTCAGCAGCTTCCATATCTGTTGCATGCGGTGCCATGCCTAAAAACCTTTCAGTTGTGTTTACTCCTTTGCTAATTGCACAATCTTCTAAATATTCTCCACCATGATTTTCGAGTTCAGGTGCTAACGCAGCGTAAACACTAGTCGAAGCACCTTGTTCGATATTTTTGAAACCATCAAGAAGTGATCCATCTTCTTTATACCATCCCATTGCACGTTGTTCTTCCAGCGGTACATCTTTTTGTAAATTAGTCATTATTCCACCTGGGTGTAAAGCATAAGCTTTAATTCCTTGTGATTCGTACAACTTGTTCAATTGTTTAGCAAAAAGGATATTCGCCGTTTTACTTTGTGCATAAGCTAACCATTTATCATAACTTTTCTCCCAATTCACATCTTCCCAATGGATACCACCACGCTTATTTGCCAATGAACTAACAACAACAACTCGTGATGGGTTGCCAGCTTTGAGTTCAGGTATGAGACTGGTTGTTAGAAGAAAATGCGCAAGATGGTTAACGCCAAATTGTGATTCGAAACCATCGATCGTCTTTGTGTATGGACATGCCATGATTCCTGCATTGCCTATTGGAAGTATCGATCAAAGAAAGGTTAGTCAAAGCAGATATACACTTACAAATGAGAATATTGATTGGTAATTTCCGAGCTTGAAATTGTTTAACAAAGTTTCTGACGGATTCGAGTGAAGTAAGATCCATTTCCATCACTTCGACTTTATTGTTATTTGTAGTTTTTTTAATATCCTCTACAACTTGTGCACCTTTCTTCATATCTCGTGCGGTTATGATTACATGTGCATTTGCAGATGCTAATGCACGAGCTGTTTCAATACCAATACCTGAACAGAAGTTCAAGCTATTTCTACAATGAAGTTTTCAATTGATTTCTTACCTGATGTGGCACCGGTGATAAGTACGATTTTATCGTCCAATTTCGCACTAAGTCCTTTAACAATTTCAAGCGCAGTTGATTTAGCATGAAAAGCTGTCGACGCCATTGTGACAAAGCAATTTTTATATAGGACACAACAATGTTTTTCTTTCTCCTTTTATACTATCACACAATGTTGTGGATTAAACGTCAACGTGGTATTTATTTGCGTTTGTTTCTTTGCTCGTTCTGTCATGAGTATGAACGCAACCAAAGGATTGTCGAGTACGCGTACGACAAGTATTTTCTCGATCAGTTTTGTCATCACTGATATGCTGTGAAAGTAGATATGTTCTTCTGCGTCACGATTGTGTTTTGCCACATGATAAACTGAATGATTAACCTGGATTCACTATATCTCTGCAATTGAAAAAGTCTAATTTTGGGAATCTTAAAATTTGTTTAACATGAAAGAGCGTAAACATTCGTTCTAAAAGAAACTGTATCAACGAAAGGAAAGGCACATGACCGAAGTATTCATTCCCCATCTATATCTTGCAATTATATGCCAAAATTAAGTTAAAAACCTGATTCACAATATTAGATCATATCATAGTTGTTTGTTAAAACTAGTACTGTATTTTAAGAATTTCCTTTGACTCATTGATCAGATCTGTTCATATCACTATGTCGTGTGATGTGACACATTATTCTCTATTCGAATATGTGAATAACAACTGAATGGCAGATGACGCTGATTATTGATGTTAAGACATGCCTCCAGATTTCTAATGGTCTATTTTGTTTTTCAGTCATTTCTTTCGATTGGTCAATAGTTTTACTCGAATTTACTTTATGAATTTCGGAAAACGGTCTCGATTTCGATATTCTCATTTGAGCTTAACTGAATTAATTCATCTCGTTACATTCCAGATCGAAATAGCTGATAAAACAAATCGTCTGTCTGATGTTGACCAAAATATCAAACTATCGTTCATCATTTTCGATGGTCATTTTTAATCGATCAGCAATTACCAACTCTGTTTTTAGTTTGGGCAATCAAATGAAACTATTGAATGATAATAAGCAATTTTCGAAAACACTTCAACTATTTGAAAAATATCGAAAAGATGATAGTGAAAATTTATCAAGTTTGACTATCACACAAGTTTTGAAAGCGTGTGCTCACTTAAAAGACATTCAATGCGGAAAAATAATTCATGATCGTGTTTCATCACGTATAAAAGATGATCCTTATATATTAACAGCATTGATTCAGATGTACAGTAAGTTATCAGATGAGGTTTTCTTTCATATTTTCTCTTTTCATAGTGTATTGTGGTGATGTTACAAGTGCTGAGAGATTAATTGAAAAGTCAATGACAAAGGATACACCAATGTATACTGCAATAATGAAAGGTTATACATTCGATCTGCATAGAAATATTGTCTAAGGCATTCAAATTTTAGGTTATTTAAAAAATAATCAAGCATATAGAGCAATTGAAGTTTTCCATCAGATAAAGACTCCTAGTGACACAAATCTGATTGTTTTCTTTCAAGCGTGTGCACATCTTGAAACATCAGAAGCATTAAATTTAGTGAAAAAAGTGTTAAACACAATGCCAGCGTCGTTTTTTAACAATGAATACCTTCTGTCATCTCTATTGAACACATTAATGCAACATGGAGATATTAAACATGCTGAAAGCATATTCCATGAGTCAAAACAAAGAACAGCATCAGTGTGTGCGACAATGATGAAAGGTGAGACGTACTATGTACTTCGACATCTCTAATTAACTTTTGATTTCAGGCTTTATAACAAATGATCAAGCAGATAGAGCGATTGAAATCTTCACTCACATTAGAAAACCTGATGCAGTCAATTTCATTATTTTCTTCAATGCTTGTGCTAAACTAGGTAGAAAAGAAACATTAAGTTTAATAGAAAAAGCATTGAAGGAAATACCATTATCATTCTATTCGAATCCTCGTCTTGTAACCTCTTTATTGGATGCATTGATGCAATGTGGAGATGTAAGACAAGCGGAAATATTCTTTAATACAACAAAACAAAAAGTTTTATCAATGTACGGAGCAATGATGAAGGGATATGTTACAAACAATCAAGCAGATAGAGCTATTGATCTTTTCAAACAGATAAAACATCCTGATGAAATCGTTCTTATTATTTTCTTCAATTCCTGCGCCCAATTACGGACTACGGAAGCTTTACACTTGGCAGGAAAAGTTTTGAAAGAAATACCCTCGACATTCTGTTCCAATACAAATCTTTTAACATCTGCATTAGATGCCTTGATGCAATGTAAAGATGTTGAACAGGCAGAATCGATATTTAATGCATCGAAACAAAAAGTCATGGGAATGTATGGAGCAATGATGAAAGGTTATGTGACAAATAATCAAGCAAATAGAGCCATTGATCTTTTTAACGAAATTGAACATCCTGATCATGTCGTTCTGAATCTTTTATTTAACGCTTGTGCTCAAGTACGAACTACCGAGGCCTTGACTTTAGTGAAAAGGATTTATCGGACAATGCCATCAACTATTCATTCCAATTATTATCTGTTGACTTCTCTATTGGATGCATTGATCAAATGTCGAGATACTGCAAGTGCGGAAATTCTTTTTTCGAAAATAAAAAGATCGGTGATTAACTATGGAAATTTAATGAATGGATTGAATGATGAAAATCAAGCAGAAAAAACAATCAAATTATTCTATCAAATGAAAAACGAAGGTTTTGAAGGCAGTGCCATTACTTACTTATGTGTCATAAGAGCTCTATCACTAATTGGTGATTATCCATTGGCTCAATCAATAATTAAACAAATTCCCGAATCTATTTTGATCGATAGGAAGATTCAGAATGCTTTAATAGATATGTGGGTTAGTTGCACGACTATTCTTCTTCTCCTCTCGGATATTAAAATAAAGAACTATTCGTTTAGGGTAAAACTGGATGTGTCGATAAAGCAAGAAAAATTTTTGAAAAGTGTTCCAATCCAGATGGAATTACATACACAGCGATGAGTATGCATTGTTGACGTACCTTTTTCTATGAGGAACTCGAACAGAATTTTTGTCTTTAGTTAATAGTTACGCACTAAATGGAATGGGCATGCAAGCCATTGAACTTTTCTCCCAAACACCCGAAGAACTCATTAGTGAAGCGACTTATATTTGTGTATTGAATGGATGCTCACACGCTGGTCTTGCTGATCAAGCTCGTTCGATTTTTCACATTATGAAACTGAAAACAGAACGAATCACGACAGTTATGGTATCTGATCGATAATCATTTTGTTCCAAGAGAAAAGTATTTTTCGTTGTAGGTCGATTGTCTTAGTCGTGCATCATTATTTGTCGAGGCACAAGAATTGATTGATCGATTCGAACATACACATTCACCTGAAATAGTCATGTACAGTAGGCATCTTTTGTAGTATTTCTTTTGGTGCAGAATCAAAAATGTCTTTTTTTTACTCGGTTTAGTGGCATTGCTGTCAGGTGCTCGAAATGAAAAAAATAGTGATTTAGCACAAAATGTTTATAATCGAATGAAAATATTGTTTCCTCTTACAAAAGATTCGTTAACATCTGCTGCAGTTCTTCTTGCAAATACCTATGCATCAATCGGTGATACTGAAAAATCATCAGATATTCGAATGGGATTGCACAGATCAGGTGCTAAGAAGAAAGTTGGTAAATCTATGACTGTAGTTGATGGAGAAGTTTATGTAAGTTCAAACACGAATGATAGTTTGAAGTGATGTGAAATGATTCTACCGTAGGAATTTCGTGCTCATGACAGATCTCATCCTCGATCAGTTGAAATTTATCATGAAGTGCAGAAAATATCTGAAGAATTAATCTCACATGGTCATGAATATGATTCCAGTTGGATCACACGAACAATGGATGATGACGAAAGTGTCGCATCGATTCTATGTGGTCATAGTGAACGATTGGCCATCGCATGGAACTTTGTAGCAAATCCACATACGAGCAGAATTCAAGTCACAAAGAACTTACGAGTTTGTGGCGATTGTCGTATGTATCGATTTGATATTTCGTTAATTTATTAGTTAGTTTTAATTACAGATCGAGCAACAAAGTTGATCGCTGCAATTCGAGGGTGTGAAATCGTTGTTCGAGACGCTAATCGAATTCATCATTTTGACAAAAGTGGACAATGCTCATGTAATGATTATTTTTGAAAGAAATCCTGTATTACTTTTTCCTATTTGTTCAAACTTTAATGAAAAAAAAGGCAGTTGACTATTAAAATATCTTAATAATGCCGTAGATTGGTTATGTACAATACTTCGCGAAATATTTTTGAGGGTAAAGAATGGATATATGTGCTCTAAAGGAAGGAAACTAGTATCAATCAAAGATTTTCTCTTCTCTCACTTGCTTATCTTATTGCGAATACACAATTGAAAACTCATATAACGCAAATCAAACGTCAACATACTATGGTTGCAATCTAAGCGAGAGCATTGCCACAACAGAAAACTTCTTCAACATATTTCTCTTTCCTCGAAGTAACCAATGGATTTTAGTTTCTTATCAGCACTATGTTCAGTAGAAAAACTATCACCTTTATGATTTAAATCGACTGAGACAACGCCTTTCAGTGTATTTTGATAATATTTACTAATCCTATGATACTTAGAAATAAATGAAGTTTTACAAAGCGTTTCATGTACAATCGAATGCTAATTTTAAACCAATTAATCACATTCCATTGATTCAATTTCTGCTGATTCATCCTCAAGATTCATGCTTTCAAACAATGTAAATGGATCTTTGGTTTGTTGATTAACAATCTTTTTTGGAGGGGATGGAGGTTTATTAATATAATCTAATGCTTCTAATGCAGCAAGTTTTTCAGCTACTCGCTTTTTTGTAGACTGATCACCAATAAATGTCATTCCATCTACCATTACTTCGACCTACATTAAAAGAGAAAATAATTTTTCATTTTCTAAATCTGTTCTCACTTGAAACATAGGAGAATGGTCAGGACCTGTTTTTTCTATCAAAGAGTAAATTGGCAATGGCAGATTTCGTTGTTGACAATATTCTTGAAGACGATTTTTAGCACCATCAACGTCTATAATACTCATCAATTGAGAAAAAATCTAAAGTAGAACGAGATGTGTATTCGTATAGAAAGTGCACAAGATATGTGCCGTGCTATCTTCCGAGTTTTGGATTAAATTTCCTAATTCTTTCTGAATTTCTAGGATATAATATATTGATCATTATCAGTGTGTAAACTAGACAAAACATCATGTGAGTATTACTATTCTTACCTTTGTCTGTTTTCAGTTATTCAAATAGGTAACCAAACTAATGAATTGTTTTGCCATTCTGATAAGCATAACCACGTAAAACGTTTAACAGATTTTTTACATTTTGGACTTTTTTCTTTCTTCTTTTCATCACGTGTCAACTTTATGCGTTCTCCTTGTATTTTAGCAGTACTGTGTTGTTTTGAATTATTATTGAATTTGATAAAAGTACTGAGAATGAGAGTAGATTAAGATGAGCATGACTTATCAAGTTGTGACCGGCTGCGTGAAACAACTCTATAAAATTTCGAAAAGGTAAGTAGTTGTATCATTACAGATATAACCATATCTACCTGAGGAATAAAAAAACATTCATGCTGCAAGAGGGAAAAACTCCAATAGAAGAAGAAAAACATCGTAAAAATCCTTGCGTGGTGTGTAGCTCGTTGATGATGACTATATAACTAGAAAAATGGCCTGAAAGACATCAAAGGAAGAAATATTCTGGTGTTTACAAGTGAAAAAGTCTTCTGCAACTACATGATGGAGAACAATCAAACAGTGACTAAATTCGAATTCTTACCGAATGAAATTATAATCGAATGTTTTGGATATCTCAATACTTTAGAAATATTTTCTTCATTCGGTCAATTGAATTTGCGTTTTGATCAACTCATCGGGCGTGTTCCATTACATCCCGATTTCGAAAATGCCTCACAAACAATATCTGAACGATTTTGTCAAAAAATGTTAAACGATCCTGAGATGAAACGATATATTCATTCATTAAGTATATCCAACAGCAATCCTAGTATTGATATTCGATCATTTTACGGGAAGTTTTCATTGTCTGATTTCCCATGTTTACAATCATTAACTTTAACTAAAGTCGAATCGATTAATATGGACAAATTAACAATAATGCTATCTTCTATGCCTTCGTTGACATGTTTTCGTGTAATTGGTTCTGAAGGTTATAACAACGCTCTCATTTCCAGTTTAGATCACTCGAGAATACAAACATTAATAATATCTAAATTATATGGAGGTTTAACATTTTTATCTAATTTTCAATCTCTGACAAGTTTTACTATAAATGCCTGCAGTATACACCAAGTATTTTCAGTGTTAAACAATACCTCTAATTTGAAATATCTGCAGGTCAATTGCTTATCAAATGATATAGCAGAATTTTACGAAAAAATTCGTCTATCAGTTGATTCTCTTCGACACTTGGTTATCAACGAGACTAAATTAGAGTTTTATCATATTCAAATGATACTAAAACACACGCCAAATTTAACTCATTTTACATTATTTACTTATTCACTATGGAACTCCGGGTGTGCTCAAAGGTGGGAGCATGTAATTCACAATGATTTACCGTATTTGAAGGTTTTCAAGTTTTGCTTTCAGTATTTCCGCACAGCGAACGAGCAATATATAGAGGAAGATCTAAAGAAGTTTCAAAGTGATTTCTGGTGCAACGTACATGGTTGGCTGACCGAGTATATATTGTCATACGATAGAGCAATGATCTATACTGTACCCTACGAATTTCCTACATTGCAATTACCTTGTCCTATGGAAAGATATCGTAATACAGTAGTGAACGAAAGAAATACATTCAATAAAGTAATAGTATTAAAAATTGACTCTGATAGATTACGAAGAAGAACTTTCGATGAAGAAAATATCCCCGTGTGGTTTCCATATCTATGTAATGTAAAACATTTAGAGGTTTTACATGAATGTCAATTACATAACCCATTAGTAATGTTACAAATACTGAAAGAAATTCGACAAATATCATCGTTGACTATACCGGCGACAGTGCTCCAAAAATGGTGGAACAATAATGAATTATGTCAATATTTAAACCAAATGATTCACAAGTTGTGTATGAAGGGTACATTACAGTTCTCGAGACCACTTGATATTATGGAACAGTTCTGTAGATTATTTTCAAATGTTCAACATCTGACATGTACAGTTGATCGTAGTAGTTATGTATTATTCATCTCAACTCATTTGCGAAATTTAATATATGCAAATTTTACTTCAACCAGAGACGACATTACACATGAATCTTTGCAAAACGACATACTTCGACTAGGAATGAATGTCCAATTTCATGTTGATCCCATTACTTTGCCACGAATCTCCATTTTAGTTTATAGAAATGTATGAGCAACAATTAAATACAACTGAACAATGAACACCTTTTTGAAAGAAAAATTCAATGCATTGTACAACAATCGAGAATATTCGATATGCTTAATGATTCTTTATAGTTTCATGAACAATGTAAACGGAAAACTCCGTATTTGGTCGTGATTTTTCTAAACGTCGTCAATCTGTTGTGTATGACATTTATTTTGTTTTCATCTACGGACGTGTAGGAAAATTAACGTCGAAGAACGCCCTCTCTCCATCTCTTCCTCTCTCTCTCTCTTATCCAAACAATTACACGGTATTCGTTCATTCTCTTTCCTCATATTTTCAAGTGAACTGTTTTTTTTTTCTCTTCTGATTCAATTTTGCTTTTTCCTATTCGTATATTTTCAACATTTACAACATTCGATAGACACTTAACAATGAAATTGACAAATGTATTTTCAACAATTGTTAATTGATTCCTCTATGAAGAGTTTGTTTGTTTATAAGAAATATCAATATTCAAAAATGTTTTTTCTTCGAAGAATTCGACTGCTTTATTGATATGAACATAATGTAAAACATGAACGGCGCTAGTATACACGTTTCATACTGTTCTCCAATCAGACACAAAATACAAGTTGAGACCAACCATCACTAAATGACTCATCTTAATAAACCGAAAGAAGAAAATTGAACATATGTGAATAGATAAACAGAAAAGAAGTTCGATTTGTTTTAGATGATTATGATTAATATTTATCAAAATTAAATATTTCATCGAATCATGGCATTGAGCGATCTCGTACTGGATTGTAAGTTAATGTCTTCGTGTTCAAATTCGATTTCAAATTGTATCCTTTAGTTTACGAGATGACTAATGCAAGTCGAGTTGACATGAGTGATTTCGAATTACTTCGTGTACTTGGCACAGGAGGTAAAAATTATTTGTACCCGTATGAAGAAGAAAATCATTGACCTTTCTTTTAGCTTATGGAAAAGTTTTTCTTGTGCGGAAAATAACCGGTGCCGATTTAGGTAAATTATACGCAATGAAAGTTATTAAGAAAGCGGCCATTTTACAAAAAGCTAAAACAGCTGAACATATTAAAACCGAACGACAAGTTTTAGAAGCTATTCGTCAGATACCTTTTTTAGTATCACTGCATTATGCATTTCAAAGTGATGCTAAACTTCATCTAGTTATGGGTATGTTTGTGCTCTTTTGAATAGAAAAACAGAAAACGAACGTCTGACATTCCTATTTAGATTATGTCAGTGGTGGAGAATTGTTTACACATCTGAATAAAAGACAATATTTTACTGAACAAGATGCAAAAATATACATTGCTGAATTAGCACTTGCTCTTGGTCAACTACATAAAGTAATAGTTGATATTGTCAAGAATATAATTGATCAATTTGGTTTTTAGATTGGAATTATTTATCGTGATATTAAACTTGAGAATATCCTGCTGGATAACGATGGACATATTGTTCTCGCAGATTTTGGTTTAAGCAAAGAATTTCGACCAGATGATGCAGTGAGAATATAGATCTTGTTTTCATGATCTTTGTTTTTATGTGTTCATATTATAGGATAAACGAACTTATTCATTTTGTGGTACAATCGAATATATGGCACCTGAAGTAGTGAAAGGTGGAGATGCTGGACATGATTTCGTAAGTTTTCATTGCAAGGCATCGAAAGAATCGATATAATATATGAAAATAGACGGTTGATTGGTGGAGTCTTGGTGTACTGACTTTTGAATTGCTAACCGGTGCATCACCATTTACTGTTGACGGACAGCAAAACACTCAACCAGAAATATCCAAGTACGAGTCACATTTCTTCATATAAAATGTCGTCAATCGTATTTTTTCAGACGAATAGTGAAGAATCAGCCGTTTATACCGAATCACATCTCAAAAGTGGCCAAAGATTTTATTCTTAAACTTTTAGTTAAAAATCCTAAACGTCGTTTGGGCGCTAAAGGTTTAGAAGACATTAAACGTCATCCATTTTTCGGACCTGATATGGATTGGGATGCTATCGCGCAAAAGCGTGCTCAAGCACCGATTAAACCCAAATTAAAAGATGAAATGGATACAAGTAATTTTGCCGAAGAATTCACTCGCTTACCAATCACGGATTCACCTGGATTGGCTCCGCCAACTGAAAGTTTATTCCGAGTTCGTTTTTCTTTGAAAGTTTTGTATGTTATGAGTAGAATTTCTATGTAGGGTTATTCATTTATCTCACCAACTGTTCTTTTTGGTCCTGAGAATGCTGTCAATGAAGATTTGTATAACCTTCTACGTCTAACAAATCATCAACGACCTGATCCTTCACAACTTCATCGACTCATTAAAGTTTGTTTTCTTCTTTGTTAACTTTGTGTGCATCATCAAGTTGTTCTTTAGACAAGTCCGTTCTTTCGCAACTATGAGTTAATCGATCGAGAAGGTTTTCTTGGCGAAGGAAGTTATTCAATTTGTCGGTGAGTGATTGTATTTATTCTTTTCATCTCTCGAAATGACTATTGAACATTTTAGACGATGTCGAAGTCGTCGAACTCAAGAGGAATTTGCTGTGAAAATCGTTTCACTTCGACAAGAAGTTGATGCTCAGAATGAAATCGAACTTCTGCGTTTATGTCAGGGTCATCCCAACATCGTCAGATTACATGAAGTTTATTCCGATGAGGTTGGTTTCCTTTTCCAAAAGTAGCATACCATTTCGATCTGTTTAATTTTGACATATTTAGCTGCATACGTATATCATCATGGAATTGCTAACAGGTGGAGAACTTTTCTATCGAATACGTACACGAACGACGTTCTCTGAGAAAGAAGCCAGTCAATTGATGAGAAAACTCGTGTCTGCTGTTAATTTCATGCATAGTAATGATCTATGCCATCGAGATCTGAAACCAGAGGTATAAATCAAGCATTTTATTGACTAAACGAATGAATCGCGTATGTTAAATAGAACCTACTGTTTTCGTCATCGCAACCCGATGCAGATATCAAAATCATCGATTTTGGCTTTGCGAAGAAGCGTACGAAACACCAACAAATGACAACGCCGTGTGGAACGCTCTTGTAAGAATACTGAAACTATTTCTCCTAGTTTATCGTTATTCTTTGAAGATACACTGCACCTGAAGTTCTGCGCGCTGCGACGACATTGAACTATTCTCAGTCATCATCGATGTCATCATCTTCATCCTTCAGTAGTACAGCCACAGTTGCCATTGTACCTTCAACTTCAACAGCAACAACAATTACATCTGGTTACGATGAGTCGTGTGATCTATGGTCATTGGGTGTGATTTTATATACAATGTTAAGTGGAGAAGTGCCATTCAATTCAATCACAGCTCATCGAACAGCTGAAGAAATTGTTGAAGATATAACACAGTCGAAATTATCGTACGATACACCAGCCTGGAAGAATGTGTCACAAGCAGCAAAAGATCTTGTCAAAGGTTTACTAACAGTTGACCCATCGAAACGTTTGACAATTAAAGATTTATCTCGGAACGCATGGCTGCGTGGTTCTAGTGTATCGACAATGCATGATCATCTGATGACGCCCAATGTTCTTTGCCAGGCATCTCGATCACTGATTGTAAGTTATTCATTTCTATTTTTGAACTACCAGGATAGAATAAAACAATGATATTTATTCGTCAAGGTTCGTGCTGTCAATGTGACGATGCGTGCATTTCAAAAAGCTGGTCAATTTCAATTATCATCTGTTATCGATGGTCTTCTTGCTCGTCGTCGTTATACAAAACGATCAACTGATTCATGTTCATCGACATCAAGTTCAGCAACAACAACCACAACATCGAGTTCAGCCGTTGTTCCTACCACCAATATTCCCTTATCAACCCTACCACATACTCGTCGTTTGTGTGGAAATGGGGTTTGCCGTTGCCGTCATGCCCCGTGTCCACCAACAAATGGCATCTCGTCTGTATCTTCATTTGACTTCAGTGATGAAAGACTCTCACAATTAATCGATCAATATCCGTTAACAACAACAACAACGACTACAACGTCACCAAAACGGTATGGAATGACATTACGATCGCGGGGAACTACTGGTGTTCACCATGAGTTTGCTTCTCCTGCTCCACTTCCACCATTACTTCTTGTGCCTTCTTCGTCTTCCTCTTTAACCAATACGTCTATACCTCCTCCAACTATTACCAATGGTGAAAAACGTCCATTGACATCACCTACTCATCATCCATTAGCATCAGTCAATAAAAAAGCGAAGAGATCGGGTACGATAACTATCGATGATTAGAATCTCTTGTCCTTTTCATTTGTCTCTATCTGAACTATTCACTTCTACGTTTTCCCAATCTTTTCTATCTATCAGTTTTGTTGTTTTGAAAACATCATTGTCGTTACCATTATGACTAATGCTTATGTGTTCATTTATCGTTACTGTACTTGTCGAATACATGAACAACGACCGATTTCTTTCTGTGCTTGTATGATCGTTTCTCTCTCTCTCTTTTTCTCTTGTCTATTGTATCTGTACTGCGCCTATTAATCAAAACTATTCTTTACTGTTTTCTTTTTCGTTTTCCTTGATTTTTTGCAATAATTATAACAGGCGACGAATTTTGTGAAAAGAGATTCTTCATACAAAGATAATCAATTATCGAGCTTTCCTGACTAAAACAAAGTTAAAACTCATAACCGTGAGTGAAACCATCGCATAAAACAATACTGTGATGAAGAAAAGAGACATAAACTTCGAACGTTCTTACAAAATATCAATAGAAAGCGTGTTGCGTCATTCTTTTTTTATTGAAATTCTTTGAATAAGGTATGTTAATATTTTCGAAGTTCAGATCAATCATGTTTCATTTCAGCGCATCTAAACATACACAACAAAATGAAAAACGTATTTCTTTATGAATTCTATTTACTCGATAGAGTATTTCCATTAGTCGATCAGTGACTATTGGAAAATATTGAAATGTATCGTAATATTCCAGTCGCACGGCTTCGTCTTTTTCATCTTGACAATCGAATTGATTCGGTTTGATAAATCCTAACCAACATATAACTTTCTTTACCATATAATTAAATGCTTCTTGATCTTCGTTTTGACTTGACTTCGCTTTCTTCTGAACGCGTCGAAAATGATCTACTATGATCGATATGAACATATTTATACAAATGAATACAACGAATATAATAAATAAAATAAAGCAAATCGGCCCGAGTATTTGATCAGCTTGATATAAGTCATGAACATCAAACTTTAATAATATCATTTCGAAAAGCATCACTGCTGTATGGATCAGATTGGAACAGGAGAGTATTTTGGATATGAATAATTCATAGAACAAAATCATGAAACTAAGAAATATAAATGAAAACATAAACATAAATTGAATCAGATCGTTCTTTGCACTTGACAACGTATCATTAAAAACAGATAAACGTGAACTAAATCGACATAAATGAAGAAGCTTTATCGTACCAAAAAAACAACAAAAACCAATAATTATATTGAATATATCATTGATATAAGCGATAAGTTGAAGATTGATGTACAAATAGCCATTTGTATCATGAAAAAGATTGGTAACTCGTTTGATTTCAACATATCGCCATAGATAGATTGCCATACCAATCCAAGAACAGATGATAATCCCAAGTCTAATAAATGACCAAATTCGACAGATATAACCTATTTTCAAGTGATGAATATCTTGAAACTCTTTAATTATATAATAGATTAAAAATAAAACATGTATGACGATGATTATCAGATAAACAATTGATGTTAAACCTAAAACAAACGTAATTACATTCTGAGTTTCATTAATGCATCGAAGTTGCCCGAACAAACCTTGAACATAGAAAGGTTCGAAGCGAGTCGATGGGGATACTCCTCCAGCGGGTAATAATTCCAAAAGAAAACTAACGGATGTGAACATTTGGATGTTAGGATTATATAAACTCATTTGAATAAGAATAGCTCGTGTGTATTGATCTATCCATTTGAATTGACGAAGAAGTGAAAGATTTGAACGAAGTTCAGAAAGACAACCTCGAAATTCGTAGACAAATCCACCAGTATTATAAGTTCCATGATCACCCACATAGGTATATGTATCCAATTCTTGACTTGATCTATATCTAAATGCATTCAGTATCGATGAACTGTAATTAGTTAAAGTTGAATTCATCCATTTTAGTCCAAACGAACGTTGTTCTTCATTCGAATAACTATAATCAACTTCACACGTTAAATTCAATGATTTAGAAACTGGATGTACATGACACAGATCTAAAAAAAAACAAAGAATTTTATCTTCATTCAAATGACATCTTATGGAAATGCAACTACAAACCTGCTCTAACACGTAATTGTCTCATTGTTGCCCATCCAATCAATCGATTGGATTTATCATCAATAAATCCACTTAAGTTTCTTGGAGCATCTCCATTATACCATTGTTGTGCACGAATATTTTCAACAAAGCTGTTCTCTAACCACGACCAATACTCACTGATTGTCATAATCTATCGACGAAAAAGCGCAAACAGTTTGAAAGACTCATCCTTTTTCGTCATACGTTTGTATAATCATTCATTGGTGAATTTGGATTCAAAAAGAAATGTCGTAGATGATTTACTTGTAAGAATACGTTTGTATTATAATTGTAATATGCGAGAAAGTAGATAGTTCCAAGATAAATAAGATAGAGACCGATTTCTTCAATGATGGCTCGGATACGTATTTGTCGAAAACGTTGATGACGAGCTAGAGCTGTTTCCGCTTTATTCAAGCGATGAATTTTCAAATAAAATAACGAATGATCCTAGAGGAAAAGACAACTCGATTTAAGAAAAACTCAAATGTCGTTGACAAACTTCAATCATTTGAATATATTCTTCATTTCGATTCAAAATATAATCATCAATTGATTGTCTCTGATTATCTTCTTTTCTGAAGCAAATTATTGTAAAAATCGTAATAATCAATATCTAAATCATCAAGATATCTTCATTGAAAGTACTTTTCCTGTCTTTCATACTTGAATAGGTTGAGTTAAACAAGCAGATGAGATAAAACCAGCAAGAATTGATGTTAACCATTTCTGTACTTGTAAATCACCTAATTCAATACTTCGAACAAGAATAAATAAAAGTGATGTGCCAATAAAAAGAAACGATAGGCCATATGCGAAATAAGTACACCACCAGGGAAAAGTTATTTCTCGAGCTTTTCGATTCTCTCCTTTCGATCTTATGCGGCGAAAGAATTGAACGAGGAAAACACTCGGAATCAAGGAAAATACCTCCATTATCATACCAACGATGATCTATAATAGAAAAATGAAAAGATTTTGAAAAGGATTTTGTTTTGACAATAGAAACCTGTTGTAAGGAGATGTAAAATGGACCTATGGTGATACTTATATTGTATTTGATATGTTCCGATTGATTTGTTTTTCCGTAGTATAGAATATTAAATAGCATTGTGATGAAAAAAAGAACAAAGCAACATGTACATCGTTGAACACGTGTAAATTTCTTTGATTTTAAGCGACTAAATATTGAAAACCATAAATGACGATCGGACAGATTTTCATAGACTTTTTTCGATAAGATATTCGAATAATTATGTTTTTCGTTTTCACTTGCAACTGATAAAAGACGTTCGATCTATAAACACGAGAAATTTAGAAGATGATCGAATTTATGACATTGAGCATAGGGAAGAGTTTACAAACAAGATTTCTACAAAAACAATGGCAGGTGAGCATTTCGGAGACTTGAAATCTATTGTGTCTCACTTAATTGACTATACTCATATCATATTCACACTCTCAAATTTGATTTTGTACTAACCACTCCATTATCATGTTCAACTGCTAACCATCGTTGACAAATAAAACAGAACTCTTTCATTGTTTGTAAATCTCGTACGATGATATGCTTCAAAAACCATGAAGCGGCTGAACCTTGACCACTATTATCGTGCCAGATATGAATATATTCTAACGATCCCAATGATCTAAAGGAAAAAAGTGTTAAATGAAAAATATTTAGTTGGATTAAAATGAGATTATCTACTTGGGAGTAGTGATAATAAAGGAATCGATTCCTCCACGCTGAAATATCTTTCGATGTGAACTGGAAAATGTTCGAATGCTTGTTTTATCATTTTTTCCAACCATGACAAAATGAACCTTATTGATTACAATGAGAAATTTGACAAAAAAAAGAACGTTTCGAGAAGAGAGATTTACTTTCGATTCAGTATTTGCATTTACACGGAAACCAGTAAAAACAATGATTTGATAAGCATAACCATTCATTTCGGCTTTACTTGCTAAAATCGATACTTCCAACTAGAAATAAATTTCAAAATCGAACCATTGCACAAATCTCAACTGATCTACCTGTTTAAGATCATATTTATCATGAGCTCGAGCATAAACAATTAATACGAAATAAATAAATAAAACACTGGTGATTGTTACATAAATCGTTTTATTTTGCGAGAAACTTGCATGAGCAAATACGTAACTCCAATCAATCGGTGACGGTAATAAATGTAAAGCACCAGCAAGTGTTTCAGCACGTGTCGAAAAGCATTGGGTTTGAACGAGATTAGTCAATGAACCAACCTTAAACAGAATTAACATTCAAAAAGCATTCACTGAATTGTGAGAAATTTACAATTAAACCATCGGATAGCCAATTGTAATTCGAATCGAGATAATAGCAGCCGGATGTATAGAGGCGTAATTTGTAATTCGATGAAAAATTGAATGAATTGTTAAAACTAATCATGGAAAGATCTGATTGCATAGAAATATTCGAACAGAGTGCATCAATTTCCATGGAATTCAATTGTCGAAAACCAAATATAATCGATTGATGCCATGATACATATTCATTGTCGATAAAATATGTATAAAAACTATCATTCATCAAATCTAAAGGACAGAATGTATCATTTACAACCATCAATTTACTTTTCGTCATGTTTACCTGATGGACAAAACAACGATCTTCCATCAAATCGATTTAATTGTGGTGTATCATCAAATTTATAAATAAACATGTAAGCAAGTTGAATATCGATTGGATACATTTCGATATGCAAAGAGATGCTTAAATTATTCATTCGTGTCAAATTCATATAATGCAAATTGAATGTTCGATTGAAGTTACTCATCGCTGTTACATTTTGTAAGATTATCGAGGAGAATTGTGCATTGACATCACGAGGAATAAGATATTCAATAGAATCATTCATTTTAGTAGATAAATGTATCTCATTGTTATTTAAATCAATCACGGATAATGAAATTAATGTCGACAGATTAGTATAGGGTGAGGGAGGAGAATTTCCTTTTGGTGCAAGTGGTAACATGATAGACTAAAATAAAAATGATAATGTTTAGTATATGTGTGGAAGAATTGACTTACTCGAAGCAGAACGATATCTGGGGAATTTTCGATTAGATTTAAATTAGCTGGAAGTTTGATTCGACCATTTCCGATCAATAGAAGGAGTTTATTTGGAAGCGATTGAAGTGATAATTTTTCTAATGAAAAGAACATTGATGTTGTGTTTAGAACTATTTTTTGTTCGATATTTAAATGTATTTGAAATGCAGCTGTTATGGAAGAAATTATCTCAGTCAATTGATGATTGATTGTATTAGCCTTTTCAATGAAATAGAAAAACAGAATAACTGAAGCGATCTTTCTAAGCTGAACGTCGATTTCTTACCGTTTGCTTTTGATAATAACGATTTCTTTCTTGTTGAATCGTATTCCAAGAATAATCATCTCCGATCGCAAACAATTCTACTCCGAATACGATAGTCTCGATGATCAACCAAAGGCAAATCTTACTTAGATTAGACCAGACTGATTCCAGATCAGTATCGTAGTCATCAGGAAGCATATTTGCTCGATTAAAATCAAGATCCAGAATAATTCCTCGATCTTGTAAAGGTTCATTGATTGCCTTAGGAGAAAATAAAACGAAATCTATTCAAATCATTCTCATCGTTTATTCTTACGGTGTAAACGTTAGCAGCACATTGGACAATCGATTGCGCAGCTTTTTGCAGCTCTTCGTATGAAATTTGATCAGCCATTGATTGTAAAGCGATTGATAATTGGTAACATTTAGTTGATGCTAAGATCTACAAATGAATAATAAGCAGAGAAAGTATAGAAAGGTAAATTACCGAAGTTGTTCGAGTTAACTCGTTTGGTGCATTTGTTAGTTGTGATAGAGCGGATGATTGTAATGCAATATTATTCCAAGTTGTCATTGGCAGATTTGTTATGTACGTGATCAAATAATCACGTACAACAGCATGTTGATTTAGATAATCAGTAAAGATTTTCAATGTTGATACGTTCAACGTAGTTGAAGACTGAATTTAGTGATTTAGTGGAAAAGTTAAGTTAAGAACCAAACTTACGAGAAATTGATCAATTACATTTGAAAATGATACGGATATACTTGTGAAAGGAACTCCGTCTAGAAGTGAAATCATTTGTAATAGGAAACCAGTGAATAATTATTACTTTTGACTGCATTCTCAGTTTGTTTTTCGTTCATCTCATTCAAAAATTCTGATATTACAGTTACAATCTGTGTCAAACTATTTGCATCTCCGTTTGCCAGAAGGTGTGCTATTGAATTTGGATTAGTCGATTGGAAATTTGAATGTTCAATCATATCGATAAACGTATTTATTTCGGTCCAATCAAGATAAACGACCACAGGCTGCAACTGTACGTGTGTTATCGCATTCAATCCGTCTTTTATAGTGACAATGATATTCACAATGGATGAATTTGTAATGCTCGATGGTAATTGCACTTGAAAACTTGGTGTGTTAGTAAAACCAAGCATAATTTGTTTTGTAGAATCAGTTGTGTAGGCTACAAATTAAGAAAATATGAAGTTGAAATGATTGAGTGGAAAGTGATATTAACCGTAGAATGAATAATCTTTGATACCGTTTTCGTCGAACCAATTTGAACAAGTAATTTGGAATAAAGTTATTGTTGTTCCGTTTGGAGGATTGATTGAGCAAGAACCAGATCGTGGTGGTTGATTCATAACAAAATCTAAGGCACCTAAACTTGGCTTATTGTTGAATGTATAAACAACTTCAAAACGCCAATAAGATCCATTCGTATATTGAGAAAATAGTTGATTTGCTACTGTTAAATTTCTCGTATTCGTGCCTTGAAAAACGATATGATAGAAGATTATATTAACTTAGAAACGTATTTACCAAACAATTGACTATTATTGAAAAATAAGCTCAATCGAACCCATGTGACGATATTCGTCGAAAAATTTATCGATCCTTGATAAATATTCCATGCTATGTTTGTTAACAAGGTGCAATTTCCTACACAAACAGAGAATAGCGCTATTTGCGTCGTGGGATTGATATATTGATATTGAAGACTTGCTGAACACATCGTTTGAATAACACAGCTGAAATACAAACCATCGTTTGCTATTGTTTGATGAAAATTAACTTACGCGACCGCAATCATCGGAAGTTTAACGTTTTCCACATTGACTGATACATAACCATTGGCTTGTACATGAGAATTTTCATGATGGACCATATTCACAAGAAATCGATATGTTCTATTACTAAGAAGTGAACCAGCAGATATAATTACTGCTGATTGTGGAACATCCAACGAACTGTAACTCCATCCTCTACTGTTATCTAAATGAAAAAGTATATTTATAGACTTCTGAACAATGTGTTCGTAGTACGTACTTGATTTATTTAAAAAGCATGGATGATTTGGCTCTTCAAATGGAATTAATGCGCCATCAATGATCATATTATCCGTATCATCTGTTTGACAATAGTATGTGTAGTTCCAATTCTATTAGTAGAACAAAATAAGAATGTTCCGATTCAAATTAGAAATATTTACAGTTGTATCAAATATATCTGAATCTGGATTGATTGAATATTTTCCTGGATCTAAGATTAAATCATTTTCATAACTACTGGTTATCACAGAAGTACCATATTGAACGAGATTGACAATAATAGTTGCTGGAATAATTGCAATGTATACGGATGACGAAGCTATGATTGTTGCCGTTGAATTTCTCATTGTTAGAACTAATTTCAATCGATAAACGCCATAGGGAAGAGTTCGTGCAGGAATCAAAATTTGATTTGTTGTTATATTTAATAAATAATTGATATTAACTTGAAATTCACATGATGAAGTACAATTAGTTACAATCCATCGTTTAAAATATGAATGTAACGGTGTACAATTATTATTAATGATGTGATTGATCAGAATATTATCACTCCGGCGATATTGCGCTGGTGTCAAGAGTGACGTACTGTTTGGAAGGAATGATATCATTGACGAAAAACATTCTAGATATTTATTTTAAAAATACTTTGTACAACTATAGGTTGGATAATTACCCGGTATGATTGGCGAAGTATTTTCGAGCTCTGGAGTTCTTGTAGATGGTTGAACAGTATCCAATGGTGCCGTCATAATATACTGTTGAGTACCTGTCGACACTTCTAATGTGGTAGAAAGTGTGAAATATCAACGATTTGTTCAATCTGCAGTACAAACCTTCGATTGATGTTTGTACTGTTGTAGTTGTATTATTGATATTTATGGGCGAGCTTTCGTCTATGGAAGTTTCGGTATATTGTACTGTGGAGAACAGGCCTAGGTGATTCAAGGTTTTTTCAAAAAGAAATTCTCAATTATGTGCAATACAAACCTTCAGCACTCTTATCAGTACTGGTCGTAAAATGCTCATCCGTAGAGAAGTAATTTTCATCGATTGTAGAAGTTTCTATCGCACTAAATTTTGATTGTTCTAGAAAGAATCTGAGATCTGGGTTGAGTTTCAGGTTTTGAAATGCAAACCTTGTGTTGATGCTTGTAATCCTTCAGTTGTATTATCTATACTTACGATTGAACTTCCGTCCGTAGAGATTTCGATTGAATTCAATACTGTTGTTTCACTATACTGCATAGTATCTGTCGGTACTTCTAGTGCTGTAAAGAATGCCACACTTTGGTAAAATTTGAACTTCGAAATACACACCTTCAGTTGTGTAGTTGAGGTTTATAGTTGAAATTTCATCGGTAGTGGTTTCTACCGTATCTTCGACATATCCAGTGGAACTTACGTCTGTAGAAAAAGAATCTCCTTCAGTTATAGAGGTAGGTCGTATCGACTCTGGTGTAGTAGTTTCATTGTCAACAAACGAACTGGTTTCGGAAATAGGATCAGTAGAATATGTAGATGTTTCTGCATAAGTTGTGACGACTTCATTTGTCGTTGTTTGACCTAAATGAAATACGTACTTAAACAGATTTTGTAATACATAATTGAACTTACTACAATTGTTATAAATCAAAGTGAATTTTTGAATTCTAGTATTACCATCATCGGTAACATAGATATTACCAAAATGATCAAATGCAAGCCAAGATGGATAATACAGCTGATCTGATGCTCGTCCAACTGTACCAGTGCATCCTAACAGGCATCCAAAACCATCCGGTCCAGATTTTACGATTCGATGGCCACCCCAATCAACAATAAAAAGATAATTATTACTATCAACAATAACATCCGATGGACCCGTGAGTTGAATCGTATTTGGCGCACCTGTTCCTGCTAAAGTTATTCCATCCAATTGCCCATAACGAAATTTTTGAATACGGTTGTTTGACCAATCAGCTACGTACAAATTCAAACTTGTGTCAACAAAGATGCCTTTTGGTAGACAAAGTGTATTTGGTGCAGATCCTGCAGTTGCATTACCGGCGACAACAGCCCATGCAGACGAAGAATTTGCATTGTTAAGTGAGGTTTTTATTACTTGATGAGTATCGAACATGGAACAGTAAAGGTAGTTATTTAGAGAAATGAAAATTGCTATACATGATTGAAAAGCAACAGCATCAATCGTATTTTCAGTAGCATTCATCGTCCACCGAGTAATATTACCATTAAAGAGATTACTAGTATAAATATCACCATTTATAGTTACGAAAATATTTAGCATTCCTGTGGAATTAGAAGGAATTGTTCTTGCGCTATTCGTGTCTCCATTATACCATATTCGAATTGCATTGATATTTCTCATTACCAGGTAAATAGAATCATTGGTATCAACGAAAATTCCGCCAAGTTCTGACCCAATCGTATTGTTATCAACAAACGTTGTGCCATTGGGATTCCACAATGCACCCGAGCAAAATTGTGGTCGATTAAATGACGTTTCTATATGATAAAAGCGAATTGTAGTGCAACTACAAGAAAAAGATTTCACTACAAACCAAATACATCTACAGTCGGTATTGTAAGCGTTGCTGGCGTCGACGATGGATCTATAAATTAAAAATATTAAGACAAACAATCGTTTATTTTCAAGAATAATTTGTCAATCAGCACCTGTTTGAATAGTAGTGATCGTGTCAGAAGATGAAACGGAAGTGTCGAAAAGAGCATCTAATGAAGAAAACAAAATAATTAAGAAGATTGATTCATGCGAATTCTTAGAAAAAGAAAAGAATTGCTTGCTTTCATAAAACTCACCGCACGAATTATTTAAAAACATAAATTTCTGAACCCGACAATTACCATTGTCCAAAACGTATAGATTCCCATAACTGTCAAAACTTATGCTTCGAGGATATGCTAAAGTATATGCAGTCGATCCAATTGTACCAGTACAACCAACGATGCATCGAAAACCGTGTGGTCCAGATGCAACAACACGAGCTGTATACCATTCAACAATGAAGAGATAACCATCGCCATCGAGAACAACTGCTATTGGGCCGGCAAGTGAAACTGTTCCTGGAGCTCCATTGCCTGCCACCGTTGTTGCTTCCAATTGTCCCGATGGAAATCTTTGCACTCTATTATTTCCCCAATCGGCTACATATAAATATAAATTCTTGTCCACAAAAATCCCATTTGGCATATTAAGGCTATTCGATTCTGATCCTACTGTTCCGTTACCAGCGACAATCATCGATTTGTTTGAGTTGTCGTCTAATGACTTTGCCATGATTAAATGTTGAATATCCATAGAGCAATAGATAGTATTATTGACATCAATGAAAAGTCCTATACATTGTCCTAAAACATCAAATACTGATTTACCCTCAGTTGCATTTAAAGTCCATTTATCAACTTGACCATTATTTCCATTATCGACATAAATATCACCATTGGCTGTAACAAAAGTAGTAGCCGGTGAATTGAGGTTACCAGAAACTACTCTTGTGATATTATCACTGTCTGCTGGCCATACTTGGACAACATTCATGTCTAATACTGTTATATAAACTGTGTCATCAATGTCCACAAATACATGATGTGGACGTGTGCCAATTACGCCACAAGAAGCAAACACTGTTGCGTTTGGATCCCATGCTGCTTTAGAACAAAATTTTGGCTCGTGGAACGAAATAGCTAGATTGATAAAAAAAAACACACATTAAGTCATTGCAAATCATGTATCACATATTTTAGCATTCTATTCTACGAGTGGTCGGTCCGACAAAATCACCATAGTATAGTTTTTTATCGAACTAATTCGATTATACAGTATTGCAAACGCTTCGACAACATGAAGGTCTACTCAATTAGATGAAATCATCCGTAGTACGCAGCAGATGAATATTGTTAATTTCAATCAAACGATATAGAAGACACTACACAATTTTTTTTGTCATAATCTGGTAAAAGTATGAAGTCTACACTTATCAATTCTTCTTCCAATTGTAATATCTATATGAGTATAAGTATATAAAGAAAACTTTTGTTGCGACTAGTATATGTCTTCTCAGCGCATATTTTACGTTTCGCTAACACTAACTTAACGCGTAAGCTGCACTCACAAATATATTCATCTATCGGACATTTTTAAGGACACGCTGGACTGTAAACAGCAGCTCTCCAAGTTCAACAACCAAAAGAAGTAATTATTTTTTTAGGTTGCCGCTAATTTTATCGCCTTATAATGAGTTCATATGCAAACAGTAATAAAAGAAAACTATTTATTCCTTTATTCAAGCATTCAATTGTACTTCTAAGTGCTTTTCAGCTACTGATTTGATCTATATTATTTCGTTGTGTCCTTAAAATGAACGAAGTAAACAGGAAAATACAGCTTATACCACGATGTTCAACATTATGTGCATCGATTCCACGTAGGAATTAATCCTCTCGGGCTTTCCCACTCTTTTTTTATGAATCGTCAGAGAAAATACAATCATTTTTATATGATTATCATACTATAACATAGTTCACAGTAATAGCGTACACCTACAAATACGATACAGTAATCCATCCAACAGAATACAATTTGAATCGATATTCAAAACAGCAATAATCATTTAAAAAGAAGAGAAAACCGGATGATAATCTATAGTACTTTCACTTGAAGTATTTATTTTGGCCCAGCCGATAAAAAAATTGTATAGTCGTATATTCTTTCGGCTAAGATTAACTTACCTTCCATGGAATTTCCATTTACGAAGTAAAATAACCAGATGATATAAGAGACTCGGATCATGACTGATGTAAACAAGCAATTGACACTATATTTCTATCGACAACAAATAACCAACATGTGAAAAATGATTGTCTGCCGACTGCATATAGAGTAAACGGAAAAATGAATAGTAGGAAAATATTATTTCATTTTATTTTCAAGATGCCAATTAGAATACAATGATTTAAAGTCGCCCCGTGAGTAAACTATGAGAAAATTGAAAACATATTCAAGCGGAATATTTTGCAAATGAGAAAAAAAAAGCATTGTCATTGTCTAATAAGATGTTTTCAACGGTGGTTTTATGGTACTCTCATCCTCAGATACCTTCGCTATGCCGCTAACTAATTACATGATAGAGTTTGTGAAATTAGTGAAGATTTCTAGCGATATCGTAAAAGAATTTCAAGTGATTTTTTCAACTCACTAAACTTATGTTAAATCTTCCCTTTGGTGAAATGATCATTATTGTGTTTGTTGAAAAAACTTTTCATATTTTTGAAGATTTCATCCGAAATATTCAACGAAAGTTTTCTTTTATTTGTTTCGTTTTTCGAGATTAAACCGAGATCTGTTCATAGAGATTATTCTGCTCGATATCTTTCATTGAATCATCATGCTTTGAATAGCGCCGGCTATATTAAGTATAACTGCAAGAATAGATAAGATACATGATGCACCTGTTCTTCGTTTCTACAATAAGACCGATTCCAACGGCAACACCCATGATTTCACTGATAAGACTAGTGAGAGAAAGGCTTTTAGACAATGAAGACATGCCCGTTGCACCTGTTGCTATGTATTTATCGAGGATTCTAATTGGAGTATCGACACAGACTGTTATTCCAACTTTTGATACGCTTATTTTCCACAAACCAGTTTTGACTGAAATTGGTACCCTAAACACAAAGGTTACAAATCTTTTGATTTGGCTTATTCAATGATGTCCGTCAAGCAAATTCCTAGTGAATGTGTTCTGTTTCAATGCGAATACTGATTCGAGAGCCAATAGCAATTGAACTCATCGAAATACTGCTTCATTTCGTTTACTGTTCGAATGTATCATGTTGACATACCAATATGAGAGTGATCTCGTAATATCAATATCCGGGATATCCGCTTAAAGACCGACAATTGTGTGTCTAAAAACCAGAGGAATTTAGTCGATACTGAGCAGGTAACGAGCTTGGTCTGAATGCATTGTCTTCAAGAGCAAGTGAGAAAAAGGTGAGAAGAAGCTTCATCAGTTGGTCGAGCCTTCTCAAGCACTCTAACTTTGCGCTATGGCCAGTGAACGAACCTTCTTCAATACTCTCACGTTCTGTTTTGCCTACTGACCAGACGTTCCGTGGTACCTTGATCATCGAAGAGTTTCAGTAGAAGGAAGCAAAGGTGTATCGAACGTTGTCTAGATAAATAACAGAGAAAGGAAAAAGGAAATAGAATCTTCAGAACGTCTCGAAAATAACTTAACAAAACGAAAACTACGGGATTGAAAAATTCCTTTCATTCATTTTTAAGTAAGAAAAGATTCAAGAAAAAAGCTATTTTTTTTAGGGCGAAAATTTTCGCAGTAGATGAACTGGCTGAGATTGTTTGATATCTTGGATGCCTTGGTTTCTCTCTCGTAGGAGTGTACCGCGACTAAAGTATACAAAGGAACAATCATGGACATTGAGGACTCACAGAATAGAATGAAAGACGAGGAACGTTAGCAAATGTGTTCTATTCTATTGTGAAAAAAATATAACTTCGAGGTGAAGTAAGTGATAGCATGTTCGAATAATTTTGTTCGAATATCTTTCTATCAAATAAAACTCTATTCGCTACACTTTGAGAGGAGAAAAAATAATGTTCAAGTTGGATGAGAAATCAAAGGAATATATAGCTTTATTTTGGTTAACTCATTTCCGGAGCACCCCAGTGGATTGTTAAAATAATAACAATAAAAAAAAGAAAGAGAAAATCTGATGAGACTTCTTATTTCCAAATGAAATGCTGATTAACATCAGTTAACTAGAAACGTGGTATTAACAAAGTATAAACTATTTCTCTCGATGTTTTTAAGAAACAGACCTTCGAGTGCTTTTCTTTAATTATTACATACAACTGAAGAGATACTCAGAAAGAAATTAGTACTGTTCGACTCAAAAGTTGAATTCAGTCACTCAACTACCAAAGTATTTCAATCAGATAGTCATACGACTGGCCAGACATACTTCTCAAGTTATTTAATCATATCATCCTATGGTGAATAGAGTGAAGAAGTCATTAAAACTAACTTTTACCGGCAACACGGGTAACCCTGGCTTGCCCTTTTGCACCCTCAACGTGGACAGACGAGATGCAAAATCATCGATTAGTGTAGCTCTTTATTCTTCGCCTTTTCTTTAATCAGATAGTCTATCGTAAGAGCACTACCTAAGCATAATTTTTGCTGACTTTTTCAATGATGTTGACTAGGAAAATCAGTTCTCGATTATGAATACCGTGATGTTCAACGACATTAGTATTAATAAATTCTTTAACCATTTCGAGGATTGATTTCATTGAAAACTTGTATCGTTAAAGGATGTGAGACTAAGTGTGTTCTCCTTATCCTGATTATCCTCATTAATACTAGTGTGAGATTTGTATAACTTTTTTCTATTTCTTCTTTCAGACTACATCAACATCAGAAAATCGTTTTAAAAATGTCAAAACAAAATTCTCTCTGTAACTATTTCATGAAAAGAAAAGATTAAAAGTCAATCAAACCCTTTTGCAAATCAAGCAGACTATTCAGCTGTTAAAAACAGATCTTCGATGACACTTATGATATTTCGTTCCGTAAAAAAGTTTTGTCTGCCTTCTCGCGGTGAAAAATCTGGATAAAATACTGGTGGTGGTGGTATTGGTTGCTCTATTGACGATTGCGTTTCCGTAATCCTTTGTTCCTGTTGCCATGCTAATATTTCTGATATTGGTCGAGCACAATGTTCTCTTTTATCAGCTGCTGGAAATTTTAAATCTGCCAATTTCTGTAATCTTAAAATTTGCACTGCTTGACCAATTTCTTTGTTTCTCCGAATTTCATTCGGTGATAATGAATGTAAATCACTTAGAATTTCCTGTAATTTATGTCGTTGTTTTGCTTTATTTGTGCAACTACACCAAGGAAAAGAACTCCAAAATTTACTGTCAATATATTCATACAATGATTGAATTAGTAAATAGAACCAACCATTGGCACCTGTTCTGTGATCACTTGTAATATTATTCTCTCTGGCGATCATATTAGCTACTTGGTTTATTAATTGTTTCGATGATTGAAATTCTCGAGTCCCACGGTCATATTCACGTTCAATAATCGACATAGCAAGACCAACTAAAATTTGATTAAAAGTAAATCGATCCGTACCTGTTGCGAATATGCAACTTGATAATTCGCGTTTTTCGGCAATTATTGCATAAGATTTTGCAAATCCTTGATAAAATAATATCGCACATATTAATCTACCAAATTGCGAACTTAAATTAATTTCATGTTGAATTATATTTTGAATTTGTGATTGTCTGTCCATATCATTCATACTAGCAGAAACATCTCTACTCTGTTGAGTTGTATTCGATTGAGCTTGTAATGTGAATGGTAAGTGAGAATTGACTAGCCAAGGATCATAACTAGGAACCAGAATTACTCGATTACCGACTTGAGAATTCAAAGTGGATTTAAATACATATTTATTACCATAAACAATGGTCATACAATTTGCAGAACCTTCATTTATTGTATCATAGACTGTTTGATATAAAAATTGATGATCGTCTTTTTTTTCATGATTTTTTCTAATTTCGTTAGCCTTCTCATTTAATTCATCAGCACTAGGCCATCCGAATCCAATAGTAGACCACAGATGATTTGTAGCTTCAGATTTGGCTTTCTCTTTCTCGTTAAGAAATTGTAGATTATTGTAATCGAATAAAGCGAAATCAAATTCATCCGTTAGAAAGGGGCCGATACAAATAAAACCGGCATTTTCAGAAGAGTTTATATGTTGTAACAGTTGTTGAGATTTGATGGTTTTGAAAGTTGATCGAGGATTTGAATAAATAAAAATAATCAAATCTGCTGTATTCAACCATTGTGTTTCTGGACTATGGAATGCGCCATATCGTTCGACATCCCACGTTTGACTTGAATATTTAAATAATTGAAATAACTTTCGATATGCAAGAAATTCAGCTCGATTAACTAAAGTATTTGTGACCAATAGTACATCGGTACGAATATTTGATTTAAACGTTGGCACAACTCGAATGCTATTTCTATGTTGTTCAATCTGCATATCACGCAATGATAAATCAAGATTCCAAAATAAACTTTCGTAAAGTTGGTCAAAAGCATTGTCATCTAACATAATTTCAAAATTAATATGCTTTGTTGATTGAGGTGGGATTTCCTCATTCATTTTATAGTGACCACGACCATTGGGCGTTATTTGATAAGTATGTTCTCCATTTATAGGTGAAATTCTCAATAAAGGATGAGTAGATAATATAAATTCTATTGAACCAGCTGAATCCAAACATGTACCGTAGGATCGTGTAGATATATTAGTAAAATGAATTGTTACGATGGCTCGTTCATTGGGACCTAGAAAGGTTGGAATTTCAATATGTGTAATCTGAATTGGATATTGGCACATTAACGAAGTTGAAAATTCACTGCCAGAAAACAAACGATTTAATAGATTAATATTTGATGTTATTTTTACAGGGTGAATGTACGGTTGATTGATTGAAGGAGTGGGTGCGGCATTTAGATGGCATTTAAATCGATGATGATCAACTAAAAGTTCGTTGACATAAGCGCCTGGTAAGACACTTACGTCTTCTATATTACTAGAAATATATTCTGTAGATGGAAATGATAATATGGATCCACTGGGCAAAGTCATTGCACCGTTATTTGTCCATTCAATATTTGTAATAAAAAAATCTGAATTGGGCTCATAGATTCCATCGTTATTTTCGTCCGTAATAGTATAAGAACAAATACTAGCATGGTACTTATCAGGACCAGTTTCAATTATGTTATCATCTGCATCGACCACAGCATATTGAATTGAACCATCGCTTGCAGTACAACCATCGTGACCATGGTGACCATGATTACCTGAGTGACCATCGCTTCCATTAGAACCATTAGTACCAGGCATACCGTCACGTCCGTTGGAGCCATTTGGTCCACCTCTACCACCCCATCCACCTTTACCACCGCTCCCACCAGCTCCACCATTACCATAGTGGCCACCCCTTCCACAGTGACCGCCTTTACCATTTATTCCTGCTCGACAATTCAATTCAATTAGCATCAATAATCTAGCATCTAAACTTCGAACTTGGACATGACCGCCAGCACCTGCATTTCCTCCATTTCCGCCAGATCCGCCGTTGCCTCCATTACCTCCGCGCCCTCCTCTTCCTCCATCGCCACCGCGACCTCCATTTCCACCAGAAGCACCTTCACCCCTACCATCATGTCCAGCTATACCAGAATAACCAGAACCACCCCGTCCTCCACTACCTCCATTCCCACCATCTCCTCCATGCCCTCCGTCCCCTCCATCGCCTCCTGAAGCTTGTACAAGAATGATCCCCTTCGAATTAGCTAATTGAAAATTATGATTAACGTCACTAAGATGTTGGACATCATTCCGATCAAAGTTAGCATAATGCTGAGGCGAACTGTTTAATGTCTGAGATATTTTTACTTTCACATTTAAATTTTCAACTGTTCCGCTCAGCCATATGAATGCATGTCGAGCATCTGTACCATGCTGTCCTGACTGACCATCAAATCCATTAGTACCATCACCCCCATCGCCCCCATGAACACCATTGGTTCCATTACTTCCATAGTGCCCAGGTGCGCCGCTAGGACCAAAATGACCATTTGAACCTGACTGACCATCAATAGATATTGTCTCATCAACATACTTTGCCACAGCTCGTTGACTAACGCTATTCACGTCGAAACGAAAGTTTGATAATTCGATATTACGCATTACACTCATTGTACGATGTTAGTTAAAATGAATAAAACCATGTATTTTATGGATGTTATCGGATAAAAATCAACATTCTCACTACTATCTACAAAGTTATATATAACTGAGTCAAGCTATTATCTCGCTTTTCTTTTCTATACTCACATAAAGTCCTTTATCTATCCGTCTTTTTTATCGTCTCGGTTTTTTCTGATCTATTGTGGTACAAAAGAATTTCATCATCATTATGAATGTACCCAGGCGGAGACCGAACCGAGACTCTCGGTCAATCTCCGCTCCAAGCAGCGTCACTCAGACTGAGAGTGTGAGTGTGGGTTTCAATGTGACTGAGATACTACTATCATCCACATCCTATCCACCCTCAGTAAATTCTAATGGAAAATAACGCATTCGTCGATTGCATGAGCCAACGAGTTATTGACAAGTAGTCTAATGATTAGATCCATGTACTAAAAAAAATCATTATCGTGTTAAACGTTGTCACCCATGTGATTATATCTTTTTAGTAGAGGGATTAGTAACGCTTGTCCCGCGTTACATATAATTTATTCTCATACATCAAATTATTTTAATCGTTTGTTTGGTTTTTTATTTCACGAAAGAGTGAAATGAAGAAAAGACCGTCATTTACTGTTGGTTTACTAGTACAAAGAAAGAAATCAAGAAAGAAGATAATATACATTTGTTATTTGGGACAAAAAAGGAGTGAAGATGTTGTTGCTGTTGAACGTTTGGAGTTCGATCTTAAATATTCATCTTCACTTAGTTGTAAAACATCTGGACGATCACGTGCTTGATAAGTTAAACATCTTCGAATGAATAATTTGGCTTCATTTGATACTTGTGGTCGATTAGGAAATTGTACTTCTTTTGCGTTTAAGATTGTCTGATTCTCTAGAATAGCCGCTTGAGATAGATTATGACCATAAGGTTTACGACCATATAAACATTGATAAAAAATACCTAAAGCACATTCAAAAGAAAATTTTCATTCATCTCAACTATTTATCAAAACTTACATCCAACACTCCATACATCAACTTTTGATGAAATCTTAGGAGGATTTGGCCCTTGAACAAAAACTTCTGGTGGTAAATACCAATAAGTACCGGCACCTATGTATACAAAACAAAATAAACACGTACAGAATGAAATGATGCTAATTTACCTTGTGATGTTAGATCCATTCCATCATCAGCATCAAATGTATCTTCATGCATTTGTTTTGATAAGCCGAAATCAGTAATTTTAACTTCACCACTTTGACTTCCTGTGCCTAAAAGAACATTTCCCGGTTTTAAATCATAATGTATCTAAAACAAAAGAAAACCAAATCTTAATATATTGAAAAAGAACAGAATTTACCACAGGTGGTTTAATGTCTACATTGAGATATCTCAATGCATTCACCGTTTGCATGATAATTGATCGTGCTTCTTTTTCCGGAATTGTTTTATTTTGTTTGAGAAAGAAATCCAAATCATTCCCATCACAATATTCCAAAACTGTACAAAATGAATTTGTATCAATTTCAAAAACATCAAACAATTTCACGATGCCTAAATCAACAAAACAAATCCTCTTTTTTTTGTTCATCACACAACACTCGACTTACGTTTATGTTCCAAATGTTTATGAATGTTATATTCTCTCAAAGCATGTTTAATATAATTGACTTTTTTTTCATCTTTCCATTCTTTATTCAGTTGATGAATTTTACAGGCAACATAACGTTGTTCACGTAAGTCGAATGCACGATGTACTTCGCTGAAACCGCCTTTACCAATTAATGTTAACAATAAGTAACGTTCATTAAGGACATTATTTTGATTAAATCTTGAATGATCTTCATTGTATAAGCGTTTTAATTCTCGTATATGAACATTTCTTTCTCGATCCAGTTTTTCTAAATCTTGTGCTAAATCGCATTCTTCACGTTTTAATGTCAATTGTCGAAGACGAAGAACTTCATCGTATTCATACCAATCTTGTAATGTCATTATCAATGATGATGAACTTGACACTAATGACGAAGATGATGAAGATGAAGAGGAATTTCCACTGTCGTGAGGAATATGATTATCATTGAAATAGAATAAATGACCATCGTTGGAATTTTCGGATGAAAACTGAAGTTTTTGTTGACTAAAGGAGATAGAAAGAATTAGTTATTTGCAAATTAAAAGAGAAGAAAGGTGACTTTGTGAATGTTTTGTTTGTTGCAGCTTTACTTGCTCGTTTTGGTTTAGTTGGTGGAATGAATATTGAGTCTTGTAAATGGATCTGATTCATATCATCAGTGGTTGACGTTGTTACTGCCATTTGTTGTTGAATTAAAGCTTTCTTCTTAATCAAATTTTTTCTTTCTTTATCAAGATTTTCTTTTGCACGCGCTAACTGTTCTTGTGCACGTTGTTTATCGACAAAATCAGATCCATCAACCCATTGTTCGACGAAAGAAGTTCCTTGTCGTTGTGTAACAAATTGACCCAGACGTAGTCGATTTTCCATTGCTTTATGTCGAGCTTGTTTCTTTTCTATCTGAGATTTTTCTACGAGTAATGAACGTGTCATTAGAAGACAACGTTTTATTGTTTCCATCGTGGATTCATATTGACGTTGAGTTTCCAATTTCGCAGACCGTAATTTATCAATTTCATTTGTCAATTGTTCTTGTTCAAGATCAAGATGTTGACTAGATGTACAGTTTGAGAATGGAGAATCAGCTTGAGTGAGTTTACTATTATTGTTCTGATGCATCACAACTGAACTATCGAGCGGCGTTAGTTTTGGAAAAAACATTGTTAATGGTGCTGATCGTTTCGCAGGAATTGAAGGTGTCAAGAATGTTGAAGAATCATTTGACGGTTGTTTACGTTTTCGTGGCGTTATATTCATTGAGTTGGACATCGACGATGAATAAGGCGGGGTATGAGCTGGTACTAACAAATGAATTGGTTGAAATGAAATTGGAGATGTGGATGAGATTTGTTTTGCTGACGATGAATACGAGTACGATGATGATAAACCAGTTACAATAGCATCGGATGATTTTAAATAATTATTTCTATAAAAAAAAAACATAAAAGTAATCTGAATATATCACGATGCGTTCGTTTTCTTTTTTTTATGCTATTTTTTCTTCTCTATTAGCACGTTACTCTAAGGAAAGGCAAGCATGTTAGAATGTACCCGAAATATACTTCGATTTTTGTCATAGACGATGAAAATAGAGTGATAATACGTACGGGGGGCAGGGAGTAATTAGTTGATCGTACGTTGGAAGGTTTGGTGTTGAGCTTAGAGACAGTATCTGACAATCGTCTTTGTCAGCGATGTTCGGAATCAATCTTCCTGGCCAGTAATAATTTTGATGAGTAAATTCAGGATTAGTCATACCAATACTGACAAACTACAACATATAAACATCGATATAGAAAGATCTAAAGCTATCATCAGTATTAATAACACAAAGACGAAGAGAAGAAGAAAAAAAACTAACGGGAATAGTGTGTATGTGCAAATGTAAAAGAAGATCATATGGAAAGAAGAAAAAAAAATGCGGAATCATATGGTCGATGTGTGTGTGCGTTTCTCTCTCGTAATGAAACAGAACAAAACGAGAAATAGAAAAGAACATGAGGGAGGGAAACAATCATCACATTTACATCGAAGAAAATAGCAGCTGTAAGACGCGAACCAGCCTAAAAAAATCTACATCGGGAGGAAAAAAATACGATGATGTTGATAAGCACAAGTTTTATTAAGATGAGTGACGAATAACGGCTTCATCAAATACAAAAAATCATGACAAAGAGAGAAGAAAAGAAGATTTTTCTTACTTTGAATGAGTGCCACTGTGATAATCATGGCTTTTGAAAAAGGATCGAATGATCATGTGACGATTCGATTTTACCCGACACGTCGATGATGTTATCTAAAATATGTCGAATAACTATTGTCAGTTATTTGAAAAAGAATTTATCAAAATTGTTTGACTAAATAAAAAAAACAACAACAACAACAACTCGCACATGTTTAGGCTTTCTTTGCTATGTATTTCAAAGAACGTTTTTTTTCTTCTTCTTTTGTACACATCTGTTCAGTTAGAAATGAAAAAAAAAGAAAGATAATCACACAAAATAAAAAATAAATATCACAAACAAAAGAATCGAATCACCGGACAAGAAATAATCGTTGGGGTAAATACATTGCATAGATAATATCCGAATTTTGTAAAATTAACGTTTCATTTTGAGATGCATATGTTAGTTTGTCAATATTCATTTCATTTTCGTCTTTATTTAGATCATTCAGAAATGGTATTCGAAATTGTCGCGTGGATGTTTTACTCGAATTGAATATATCAGATATAAAAAGAGAATTCAATTGCGTATAAAACAAATAATTTGTACGATAAATCGCAAAACATGTGGATGTTACGCCTGTTAATTCATGAAGTAATTGAAGACTTTTGTATGTCCAAATACATAAGCGCTTATCTGTACCAAGACTAACGATATTCGAAGAATGACCACAAAAATTTATATCGATTATTATCGATGATGGATGCGCATTAGCATTACTTTGAACAAGACTTTCACTATTCCATACACATAGCATTCCTTGAAAACAGCCACTGACCAAAGTCGTCGGATGATACTGAAGAGAAGTAAAGAAAAAGCCTAATTTCTTGTGAGAATTGACTCTTCATAGAACTTACAGGATCGATCGCAAGACAATTCACAGGTGCTTGATGTTTGTGTAGAGTGTGCAATAAAGAACCATTGGAAACATGTGTGACTTTTATTGAATGATCGTCACTACCCGTAAATATCAATGAAGAATTCATATCGACTTGACAGGTTCGTATTGGCCATTGATGTAGACGTTTAATATAAAGTTCTTTAACTAAACCGTTGATATATTCAAATGCGATCAGATAGCCACGACGTGTTGCAGCTACGATGATCGTTGATGATGCGCGAACAAGATGTGTTATTCCGCCAAGTTCGTGATGATAAAAAAAGGTGTTTTTCGGTAAATTATTGCTTGGATAAAGTTCAATTTGTCCATCGGAACAACCGAATAAACTTCGATGTTCGTCGATCATTAATGAACACCAAATATGGTTAATTGTCTTGTCAGAATATCTTTGCTGTTGATATAAAATTCCACCTGTTTGAGGATTCCACATACAAATCGATCCATTGGAATAAGCGACAGAAACAATCGAACCATTCTCTTGGACGCATATTGATTCGACAAGAGCTGTTGATGAAGAGGGTGTTAAGATTGTTGGAACGATTGAATGATCGCTTTTCACGTAAGATATTGATCGATGATGAGATGAAATCGATGAAAATGTCGAAGAAAAAAAGAAAAAATAAACGATACTGAATAATGCGAAGCCAAATAATACAATAAAAAGAAGTTCCCAAAGTGCTGTTGAAAATCGGCCATCAATTAATGAACTACTTGAACTGGTTATTGTTGCATCAAGTAAAGGCCGATGTGATGTCTAAGAAAGAACAAGACAAATCTCATGACTGTTAATTTATTCACATAATATCACAACTAGTTTAATTTGTATACTCAATGACCTTTACTCGATTTAGTGTGAGTACAGAATCAAACGAAAAACAGTGTAATCTATTTCGATAACTCACTTTTCGATAGGAAGCTTTGCTTGTGAAATCCAATTGTTGATCTTCGGACGATATAACTGGTAAGTAGAGTGATGGCATAATCGTTAAATATCGATTGTCATACGAAATATTATAAAACGAGAACAATGTCGGCCAATGATCATAGGATAAAATTGTGTGCCATTCATAATTCGGTAAAGACAAGTTGCTCATTAATTGATCTTCAAATATGCTTTGTGAATCGTATGATGATGAACCATAATGTTCTTTGAGCATTTTTTCTGGAACATAGTCTTTAATTTCTTCACGGTTAATTTGTACTAAAGTAAAAAAAGACTTTTTTTTATCTTACTCCTACCATTGCCAAGTTTTTCCTCTTACCATTTTTATGTAGTAAATCAACAATTAGACATGACTTGTAGAAAATCAGGATTACCCACACAAGGACAAGAAACATACTCCCACGTTGTAATAAACGATAACGAGCCCATTGAGATTGTTGCTGTAGTTGTCTTCGGTGAGGTAAATGTGGCATTTTCATTGGCAACGATAACTTAATTTCTTCTTTCTTCTCTTCTGAATTTCGATTCATTTTCTTTCGTACGCCAACCGTAAATCTTCGAATGTCGATACTTAGAACAGCTAACCAGAAATTAATTTGCATTAGAAAATCGATCAATATTCCAATCAATGCTAATTGACAAAATTCTCGGACCGTCGGAACATAAGTTATGAAGCCGAACATGACAATAACCAATTCATAAACTAAATGTTTCGATATTGTCCATGATTCAGCACGAAGGGCATGAGCAACACGTTCTCGAACGTCATCATACTGTTTTTGAGCTTGCGACGATGTTACTGCTCGAGTTAACACAACTAAATTTTCTAATCCAATGAAAATGACCAAGTAGGGAAAGACTTCGCCGCCATCAAGACGCGGCGTCATATAAAACAATGAGGATAATGCTAAGGAAATCAATAGAGAAACAACAATTTGTACAGTTGCTGCTAATGCCAAACCCCATTTCGATTTAACACATTCAAATTGACCTAAATATTCAAATGTAACTTCAATCTACGACNTTCTATGGAAAAAGAGAAAGTTTATTGTATGGACATGTGCTGAAGAAATATTTACTTTTAAATGAATATGAAGTTTAATCAATGCACGAAACATATCTATCTAACATAATGCACAGAAGAAAAGTGATGATACACCGTTACACCTCGTTTGAATGCAAAATTGGAATTCAAGGTCGCACTGTTAATAGTCAATATGTTTCGCAACAAGTAAAGCTGACAAATTCAGTATCGAAAAAAAAAGAAAACAATGAAGAATGAAATTGATTGACAAATGTTTTCATTGGTGAATGTATTCAACCAATCAAAGAATATTGTCTAAACCTTTACATTACATTTCTTGAACAGAACATCAAAACAATAGAAAAGATTCATCATGACGAGCAATACTACGGCAAGCACAGTTGGCACATCACTTTTCGGTGGTAAAAGTAAATTAATGGCAGTTATTGGTGATGAAGTACGTAGAAACATTCGTTTTCACTTTTTCTAACTACTGGTTCTCAATAGGAGACGGTGACCGGCTTTCTACTGGGTGGTATTGGTGAAATTAGTGCAAAAACACGGAAACCGAACTTTCTCATCGTTGATAAAAGTTCGTTTTGAAGAAAAAAGATTCGATTTTTCTCAATTTCGTATTTTAGATACAAAACTATCGGATATAGAAGAAACATTTAAAAGTTTTCTCATACGTGATGATATTGGAATCATTCTCATTAGCCAATATGTAAGCGATTTTTCATTGATCTTCATAATCTTATACTCTATTTGAAGATTGCCGAGATGATTCGTGGAACTGTGGAAGGTCATGACAAATCTGTTCCTGCAATACTAGAAATCCCGAGTAAAGAACATCCCTACGATGCTTCGAAAGATTCCGTTTTACGACGAGCACGTGTAAGTTCATCCAAAATTGGCATTTTTAAAAATAAAATAAATCTTCGATTTCTTTTCTAGGGTATGTTCAGTGCAGATGATTTCAAATAGACACGAACAGCTAAACGAATTCTATTTTTTGTCTTGTATTCCTTTTTATTCATTCCGATAGATCTCGAATAACAATACCAATAATCGATCTATTTATTCTAATGTCATGTACCGCATATTTCTTGTAGATTTCACTGTGAAAAGAAAAATACAACAATGTCAACAGATTCTCCGGTCAATTGGCCGTTATTTCTTTTTACCAGTCTAGTCATATGTCTTCGTTCATTCGCCGCACCATTGTGTGTATGGTTTCTAAATAAGTATTATTCACCATCGTCAGTAATCGACAAACTCACAGCAGAATTGAAGGTGATTACGAATGAATTGGGACAAATTTCTCAACAAGATCAATTTGCTGCTTATACTCGCAAAGAACGGCAACGTAATGCGCTTGTTCAACGTCTCAAAGACGAACGAAATGTTATCGAATTAAAACAAAAGAATTTTGTAACTTATATTCGAATGGTACTCAACATTGGAACTGTTTTAATGATGATTATATTAACAGTAACAGGTTATCGACACGAAACAGTTCCGTTATTCAATTATCCTTTCTTTCGTTTTCCTTTAATTCTGTGGATTTTAACGTTGAACACATTTGTGACATCATTAGTAGATATTTATAAAAGACATCAGACGAATATTTTGTGAAGATATATGTTTCGTTTTTTTTCCTTAAGTAAACTTTCAAAAAATGTTTAGAAAATCCTCTCCGCGGCTTTTCCTTGTGTTGAATGTCAACGATGAACTAATGGATTGGAATTCGTAGAGTTTAGAAACTGGTTAAGAAACCAAGTTGGATAATTTGTATCATATCTATCAAAGGCAAATCATTGATGAGGATAGAAACATCATCATTCGTTAAAAGATTGAGAAAAACTTACCTCTTCGAGCGAAATATTTGTTCGAAATTCTCATTGGATTTTGCTAATGCCGTTTGCAAAGCAAAATAGAAAAATTGTTCCAATTGTTGCACTGTCGGTTGCTAAATATTCAACATAGGAGATTCTTTTCAAAGAGAAAAAAAAGAAGATGCGTGGATATTTACGATAGGAATAGTGGTGGATGGTGATGTTAAAATAAAATTCGATTTCGGAGCGGGAACAAAGTCTTGATGTTTATCGATAGTGAGTTCGTGTAAACCACCAAAATGACCTAATTGATGCTGTTTACGCCATTTAGCACGACGATTTTGAAACCATATCTGATAGGAAAATAGACGAAAAGATTATCAAATCAAAGGAAGAATAGATGTTAAACTTGAATTTTTTTATCGGGAAGTTGAGTTATCAAAGTTAAATGTTGTCGAAGTGATACATCTGGATAATGTGTAATTTGTTCAAAAACATGTTCAAGATGACGAATTTGTTCGAGATCAAAAACACTTCGTTTTCTTGGCTTTTTATTTGAATCAAATTGCTTGCTATTCTCATCGGTCGTCATGATCATTGCTTTGATAATAATAGATTCATTTGCTTACTGTTCTCTTTATATAATTAAGTCATAAAGATAAGATATATATGAATAAACTGACGGTAAAAGAATTCAATTGTGCTTCATTTTAGATCGTAAATCATCACACTAATGTTATAAAATCAGTCGAAGAGATTAGTAAAATAATGTAGAGGCAAAAAAAGAGCTTCTTTGAAAAAGAAAATAACTTCTTGTTTCAAGAACATTTGCCTTCAATATTACTTTCACAAGAACATAATTATATTCATTTGATTCTGTTGTATTGCATTATAATCAGCAGTTTTACAAGTCAATTATTTCGATAAAAATAGACATCGTATTTGATTTAGACTCAAAATATCTTTGTTCTCTACAATTTATAAAGTATTTGCTCAACATTATTGACCATTAATCATGTCAGAACCAAAAATAGGACACAAATGTATCGATAGGAAACGAGTATAAAAACCCGGAAATCGTAATAATATACTTTTTGCAGGTAAATTATTTTAAAATTCTGCTGTTTCGAGGGCAATAAAGCATAATATCTGTCATATTTTATCCAATACTCTACTCGATCTGAATAACAGTTTCAAATGAAAACTCAAGATGTAACTTTCTCGTGTTATATTGGACAAAGAGAAAAAAAATCAAATCAATAAGCATAACATTTTAATTTGCCTAGATTGGTCGTTTCGCCACACGTTCTGTAATGTCAATTAACACGCTACAATAAAATTTAAAAGTTAGCAGTACCTATTCTGAAAGAAACTCTAATCGTATCTTTTAAAAGTCGACTTTAATTGAAAATGTTTAATCAAGTGAAGTTTTTTCTTAGTTCATCTCGCTTTTTTTCCAAACGACTGGCCTTTGTCAGTATTCAAATGAATTAAAATAAACCCGTTGATTATCTATTTTTAGATCGTAGTGACAAAACAGCACCTTTACAGATGTACTTCACACGTTTTGTTTATCACACCTAAACAGTCCTTTATGAATCATTGTCGATGTTATTCATTCGTTTACATGTTATATTAGAATAAATTGATTCTCTTGAGTTGATCTCAAGATTCTTCAGACAAACGCATCCGTAAGAAAGAAAATTAAAAAAGAGCACTTCAGTACAAGTTCGTAGTATACCTGGATCTATGAATGTTTTCATAATGCATCGATGTAAAATTTGATACGACCAGTCGTATTGAGTATAAGATGGTTCTAGTCATTTACTATGTTTTATCACAATTGAGACTGATGAGATAAAGTAATTGAAATAATAATTATGAAAAAAATTGAATTTCACATTCGAATCATAGCAAATGTTATTCTAAACCTGTTTACAACACTCTAAAAGAATATCAGATGATTTGAAGATCTATCTTATCTATTGACAAGTTAGTCCTTCATCCTAAAACACATAAATAAATCAAAGAAAATAAATAGTAATTCGAACATCTATTCAAGGATGAAGAGATCTGCTAGAGAATCAGAAATATTTGAAATCTACACATACGTTAGCAACTTATTTATTGAAAAACATTCGTACGTTACACTCTTCATCAGTAAACTCGACGGCCTTCTCTAGAATAATGAATGATTTCCACAGTGTATTGATTTTTTTCTCTTTGAAAAACTAGAACATGCCATTTGAATACTTTCTTCTATTCTTATTTCACTAAGTCTTCCTCTTGATCATGACTTCAACGTTATTTCGATGTCTAAATATAAATGAACATAATTCTGTCTGATGAATTTGAATAATTCTCAATTAAACATGCTTAATAAGATTGAGAAGAGTTTCTTCCCGTAGGAAAGTTTAGATTAATAAATGATTGTCTGATAAAATATGCTCGAGAAAATGTTTTCATCCGTCTTTCTTCTCTCAAAGTCAAAATAACTGATGGATCGTCATCGAGTCAAGAATGCTCTTTAAAAAAAGGACTAAAGAACATCTCATCTAACATAATTTATTCTCTTCGATCTATGCACGAATGGGCATCGTATGTGTTATTATATGTTTTCAGATCCAATATTATGGGAAAAAGAAAAGAATTTCTTCTTCTTTTGTTTATTCAATAATGTGGAAAGCGAAGGTCAATGATATTCGAAAGATTGATGATTTGATCCGCTTTTCTAATCTTATTAACGGTCGATTCAGATAGAAAATCAATGAAATTTCAGCAGAAATGACTGTTCGTCGGTCAAGTAGAGCTTCACCAACGACAAAGAGATCCATTTATTATGTGAAATATTCATTTCCCAGTTGACGCGTCTGTTTATACTTCTACCTGTTGCTCTTTTCGTATTACTTTCGTTATGAATGAAAATTAATCATCTATTCAATATCTGCATGTTGTTGATCATTCATTATTCATAAATATAAACTAATCAAAAAGAAAATCTCGAAGCAGTTTTGTGTTGAAATATGTTTTTTGTATAGTTTGTTTTATGTCTTATATTATTAGCGTCGCGCGGCGCCATGACAGACAAATGTAGACAGACATTGAAGAAAAAAGAAGAAGAGAAGAAAACGGACGCATCACGCACATACAAGCATATAAAGAAGAAGATTGTGTGAACGAAGAAAGTGACGGCAATCATCCACACGTTCATCCATCCGATTTATCGATGTAACGAGACGAGTGAGTGCGCATTCGAACA